CATGGGATGAATTTATATTTACCCCTGCTATGATTCCTTTGGTTGAATTACCCTCGGAAGAATCTGAAAGTGAAAATGAATCCGAGACAGAAAGTGAAAGTGTTCGATCAGAAGAAGAACCGGAAGAAGTCACACCATACACACTTAGAAGTCAAGGTCCCGTTCCAGAACAACCTTGGGTAATGCCTAGACCTACTCGCAGTCGCATCCCTAGATTTATTTCTCCTACTACTAGTAGATAATCTTCTCCATAGATGGTTTACATCTATCCTCTTCTGGATCTTTCGGAGTGTTTAAAAAGTTATAAATTGACCTTAAGATATCCAACTTTTGCATTATATATGTATATATATATATTTGGTTGTTGATAATTTCTAGTGTTTATTTTTGAGATCTGTTGAGAAATTGTTACTCCTTTGGTTGATTTAGATTGGAATATGTCAGTATAATCCCCTACAGTTTTGAAAGTAAAATTGCAGAATTTCTTTATGGTTTGAAACCAAAATCATTGAATATATCTGAGGTAAATAAAGAAAGAATTCTCCTTATCTAGATCTCCTGTTAAGTAGGACAGATAGAGGCTTATATATGTATATATATAAATTTGAGGAATTGATGGTCTCCCCTTTTTAATTTTACAATCTAATAAAACGGTAACACTTATTTGAAGACTTTGTAAAACAATAGATAATAAAATAAAGTTTTGAGCAAGATAGTTGTATTAAGCCCATTTATTTTGTCTTGCTAAAGTCAGCATTTGGGTTTTCGTATACCCCAAAAATTTTATTACGTTTTAATTATCGATCTCCCTGATATGTCTCAAAGTACCTCATTGTCATGTGCCAGAGAAATGATAGTACAGATTTTAAATTCGTAAATTTTCCTCCCAGAGAAGTGACGATCTTGACCAGAACTGTGAAAGGGTATGATACAGATAACCATATATTTGGATATTTTTCTTCTTGTCAGAAAGTCACAGTCCAGGTTCTGAGGAACAGAACTTGGACTGTGGTTATTTGGATGTTCCTCCTTTTATCCGAATCCGCCTCACCAATGAGCAGAAATAGGATCAGTATTTTTCTCTGATTAATCTCTGGTAAAGAGGGATTGTCTTAATAGACAACTCAACTCGACTAAACAACCAAATATCCTCCCTATAAAAATTTTCTAATGGATCACTAGTAAAGAGACGATCTTCACCAGACCTGAAAAGGAAAAATGGTTTAATAATCTCTCCTGTTTTTGATGTATCTCCTTGAGGAATTGTCTTAAATATAAAGGAGTATAGTGTTATTATTATTGTTTTCTGACTTGGGCTGTCGTAATCGGACAATTCCTTCTCCTCCAATTTTAATTAATTAAACGTAAAGGAAGACGAATATGAACGAAACCTAACTTTTACTATTTTAGTCTTCAGAATTCTTTTGATCTCCCTGATCATCCTCACTGTTTGGTTACTGGTTACTGGTCATAAAGGAAGAAGGCTGTCTTTCGACTTAGCCTGAAGGAAGGTGACTGAATGAAGGTGGGGTGGGAGGGAGAGTAGGATGGGTATAGAAGAGAGGATGGGATAGGTTGGGAGTAAGGGATAGCATAGGTTGGAAGTAAAGGTTGGGGTAGGTATGGATCCCAATGCCAACTTACATCGCGAATAATATAAAGTCAGTAGTACAACAGAATACAGAGACCAATCTGGAAGCAGAGTGTTTCAACAAGAACCTGATGCTAATATATACACCATCCTATGGTTAATACAACAAATAGCTTATAATTAATACAACCGAGATTAAACAAGTCTTGTTGGAGGAGTAAAGTGGTAGTGATGATACTACAACACTAGGGGTAAGAGATGACAGTAGTTACATAGCTGGTTAACATTGCAGATAAACTTGCAGAGGGTGACAATGTACTGTACATGTCCAATTAACTAAGTTGCAATCACGTTTGCAGAGGGTGATCGGTAGCAACCTTCATGGTGGTGGCAGAAGGACGGGAAACTGCCCAAAAGAAGTCCAGGGCTCAGGTTGCTGAGTTGACGGCAAAGATGCCGCAGTCCTTCGCGAATTTGTCGAGTTGGCTGTATGCCTCCTTGGTTGCACAGAAGAATTCCCATGGCAGAGGCCAGATTGTACCGTTGGTTATACAGTAGTTTATGAGTGCATTCCTTGGTGTGTCGTGATTCAGGCAGTCGGTTAGAATGTGACTGATGTCACCTGTAGTGGTCCTGTCGCAGTCGCAGTGATCGTCGTTCCTCTTTTTAATGCGGTATAAATAGCTAGGGATGTTCCCGTGGCCAGTAAGCACCTGGGTAAGGTGGTAAGAGGGAGAGAGGTAGTTCATACCCTGACGGGTTTTGATGGATGGTAGGAAGTTGAATGTTGTTCTTCCAGTGGAGGAATTGGTCCATTCATCCTGCCATTCCTTTATGATAATGGAGTTTAGTTGCTTATGGATGTAATTTAGGGGGAGCCTGCTGAATGATATGTTTATGTTACTTTTAGCTGCTCTCTTTGCGAGGGCGTCGGCTCTTTTGTTACCTTGAATATTGGCATGGCCAGGGACCCAACAAAGCTGACCAGCCTCATTTTACTGAGGTGCCTCGCCATCTGCTGGATGTTTGCCCCAGTTTCGGTCTGATGCTTTCTGTCATTGACGCTTCGAAGAGCGTACCTGCTATCGGTTATGAATTTGATAGATCCTTTCATGCGTTTAATGTTCTTGATGACGTAGTTGAGGGCTCTATCCAGACCCCAGAGCTCCGCCTGGTTATTAGTACAGAGCTCACCTAGCTTGTAATATTCCTTGTGTACAACCACCTTATCGTGGTTGTGATAGATAACCAGAGCTGCCCCTGTGCCATCTCCATTGCTGGCTCTGTCGGTGTAAATGTGCCAGTCGTAAGCCGGGTGATCCGTGTTGTCTCTCAATTCTATTTTGATACTGCTGTGTTCTGCTGGGTGGTGGAGGGTGTCCCATCTATTAGTGCTCCTATCAATCTCGTGTTTGACAATTTGAGCTTTCATCTCAGGGTCCTCCAGGCGGTTCTCGTCACTCACATTGATGTCATAGCTATGGTCTGTCTCGTTGTTTATTGGAGCCTTGTTGAGAAGGTTCCAAAGACGGACAACACTCCTAATTTTTATGTGTATCGGAACCATATTTGCAACGGTCAATAGCGCGTTCGTGGGCGCCGTGCGGTAAGCACGACAGACCCGAATGGTGAATGAACGCTGGACAGATAGTAATCTTCTCTTGTTGCAGACAATGTCAGCTCTATTGCCCCATACCTGTGCTGCATACAGCAGCGTCGGCTCAATTGCCCCCTTGTTGATGAGCGTGCTATGCTTTGTACTGATCCCCCAAGTGTTCCTCGCTATGTGGTAAATCTTGTTAGCCTTTTGGCTAACTTTCTTACACGCTCCTCAATGTGGCTATTGAAACTTAGGGTGGGGTCAAGGAGAACCCCCAGGTATTTGAGATGAGATGTAATTTTTATCTTGTAGCTATTGATATAAAGACAGGGAGCTGTCTTTATATCAGAGCTGTCTTTATATCAGTCTTTATAAAGACAGGGAGCTGTCTATTGATATAAAGACAGGGTTGGAGCTGTTTGCGGTTTGATTTTTTTTTACAAACCAGAGCCTCACATTTTTGGTAATTAATTGGCAGGTTGTTGTCTTCGCTCCATTTGTGCACAAGTTTCAGCATTTCGTTTCCGTTACTCTGCAGGACGTTACTGTTCTGATGTCTGACCATCAGAATCGTGTCGTCCGCAAAGCCCTGTATCTTAGTGTCTTCCGTGTCGGGTATGGTGTTGAGAAGATTATTGTATACCAGATTCCACAACCCGGGTCCACTGCGAGACCCTTGCGGGCAGCCCCTGTTCACCTTTATTGTGGTGTTGATCTTATTGTGGCTGAAGCTGGCCTCTCTGTCGGACAGGTAATTTTCAGTGAGGTGGTAGATGTTCTTTGGGCATCCCGCCCTCCTGAGGCACTGCAGGATGGAAGGCCACCAGAGGTGGTCAAAAGCCTTCCTGTAATCCACACTAATCAGGAGGGTATGCATGTCCTTACTCCAGCCTTCTTTGATGAAGCTTTTGACCTTGTTGATTGCCGCAATCGTTGATCTTCCTGGCCGGAAGCCGAATTGCTTATCATTCATCAGGCCTTTCCGGGTTAGGTGCCAGTTGACCCTGCCAATCAGCATGCCGTCCAGCACCTTCCCCAGGACCGTTAGAAGGCATATGGGTCTATAATCCCGCTCCACTTTGGGGCTATCAGTCTTGGGGATGAATTTGATATTGGCTATCTTCCAAGTCCTTGGGAAGTAGCCTTGAAGGAGAGAGCTGTTGTATATCAGGACAAAGGCAATCGGTACTGCTTCGAATGCCTTTTTTATCGTTTCGGCAGTTATTTTGTCATGCCCCGGGGCTTTCTTATTGGCTAGAGTGTTTATTGCTTTCTTTACCTCCTCAAATGAGAACCATTTATCGTCCTCGCTTTTGTAGTCTTTGCCGATCTCCGTCCTGATTCCCTGATGATGGACTTTGTCCTTTGTGCTGTCGTCTCTCGGGAAATGGAATTCCAGTAGCTTTTTTATATTGCTCTCAATACTATAACTATTGTTGTTGTTGTTCGAGTCGTCGGGTATAATGTTGGGGAGGCCCTTAGCTTTCCTTTTTTTGAATACAATCTTATACGGTTCCCCCAAGGGTCGATGGACGGTTGTCCACAGAAGCTCCTCCATGTGTTGGTTCTGGTTCGGTTGATGTTACTTTTGTAGTTTTTGAGAGCAGTGAAGTAATTTTTCCCCCTTTGAATCCTCATCTCCTCATTTGTTTCCCTTAACCACTTTCTTCTTTTTCTCCTGATCATTTTTTTCTCACTTTCTAAGTTATCATCCCACCAGTGGGTATGGGATTCCCTTATCTTGTACGTTGAAGAGCCTTGGATGGCCTTAGCCATAGATTCTGTGATGTGGTTTACATAGTTATCAATTTATGTTATACTACTTATCTCTGTGAATCGATAATTCCTCCAATTCCTTGCAAACATTTCTTGAAATAGTTCCCAGTTCGTCCTTTTACTGTAGTAATTATCATGGCTTTCAGTAGTACTTTGGTCTTTCTCAAGGATAGTGAGGATGTATCTGTGGTTGCTGGCCGAGTCTTTAAGCAGGGTTTGGCAGCTGATAACCTTTCTACCCACTTCCGTAGGTGCCAGGCAAACATCAGTCCAACCTTTGGCCCTTGCTGTTTGGAAGGTGGGGGTGTCAGACATATTGAGTGAGATGTTGTCAATTTCATTTAGTAGGTCCTGAAGTAAGCGACCCCTGTTGTCTTCCCTTTCATGATACCACAAATGGGATTTTGCATTTCTGTCTCTGGCCACAATGAAGGTGTTGTTCCCCAATTTCCTCACTACTGAAGTCAATTCATTTATGCACTCTTCGTCCTTGTCGAAGGGTGAGAAGTAAATGCAGATGATATTGTCAACTGGGCCTTCGTGAAGTGCAGCCGTGGTTATTTGGTTTAAACTGAGCTCGGGGATTAATGCAAGACTGATACTTTTGTTGCAGACAATTATGCCGCATTTCGATCTTTCGTTGGCTGCCCCTTTGTTTAATACCTGCCAGCTGCCAAATCTGACAATTTGATTGCTAACTGTGTAAGGCTCCTGTATGAGAATAATGTCAGCATTTAAATCATTTGCTGACTTAACAACTAAGGATGTAGCCGCTTGGCTCTTCTGGGTGTTTATTTGTAATACTTTTATAGTATCACTGGGCATGATGCTGGGACTATTGCTGTGTCTTTGCTGATTGGTTGTGGTCTTATTCATAATCTGTTTGCTTTATCAGTAATTTTTTGTATGATCTTAGTACCGGGCAGTGAGGAGAAAAGGCATTGTGGCCTGTGTCATACTTCTGCTTGTCACTGCGTTCCTTGTTTGCCTTTACACAGTTTATACATTTTGGAATCTGCTGGCAGCTGTCACACTCTCTGTATTTATGACGTTTTGTGCAGTGACTGCACCTCTCCCTGTGGTCACATTTTGCCGCCCTATGCCCAAATCCAGTGCACCTATAGCACCGCATAATGGGGATATAATCGTCTACGACGAGTGTCCCCCACTCGTAGCTCACTCTCTTCATATTTATTAGGATGTTTCGTATTGCTGGGTGGATGGACATCACCACGTGTCTGCACCCCTTTCTAGTTTTCGAGTCTATTCCGTGCATTATTTTAGTTTCCTTTTGGAAGGCTTCCTCTGAGTATTTTGTTCTTAGCTCTTTGTTTTGCTCGTAGACTTTTTTAATCAGTGTTTCCCGGCTTTCCTCGGCTGGGGCATTTAGCAGGATTACCCTGGGTCTCCTGTGCTTTAGTCTAGTCACTTTTAGTTTTTCATTAAGCTCCGGTAATTTCTCGATTGCCTCCTGCAGACTCTTTATGTCTTGCTCGGATTTCACTCTGATTTTAATTCCCTTTCCCTGCATAGCCGAGACGTGCCGCACATTTATTCCCAGACTGGCTGGGTCTATCTTTTCTCTTATCGCCTCCATCATTTCCTTGGGGCACAGGTTCTCCCCTTCCTCAGTAATATTTGATTCCACTATTAGGTCTTCAGTCTTCTCTATTTGAGAATTAGTAGCTATCGTATTTGTTATAATGTTTGTGGTGTTACTACCTCTTTTAACAGTAGCCCCTCTCTTCACCACCTCTGCATAATTGTTATTCCCCTCTCCGTGCTTTGTTCTTAAGGCCAGGACCATCCCATAAATGCTATTGGCGGTTGCGTGCATGTCGAACGCTGCCTGACGTATAGCTTTCTGGTTGTTTACCGATACCAAGCCATAAGAATTAGCCGGTAGGGCTTGCATAATAATACCAAGTCCTTGTGTGATTTTCTCTAAGAGGTCCTTCTCTGGGCAATTCATAATCAATGATTCGCCGCGTGGTATCCCGAGTAATACAGTAAAACCAGGCCGATAGTACAGGCATACCTCGACTTACATCGTTTCGAGTTACGTCGTTCCCGATTATACGTCGTTTGTCAAAAAAGTATATGGAAAAATAAAAATTAAGTTTTAAGTCATTTTATTCGACTTTACGTCTGTCCACCACAAATATTGATGTCGTACTATCACTAGAAAAACGTTTAAAGCACATAAAATTATATTAAAATATATACTAGTATGTTCTGTATTTACAGTACATGCATTCGTAAATTTAGAATACTTTTTTCTGTACTATATTAAAAACTAAAATTTATTTGTTTGTAAGCTTAAAATAGATTTTTATTAACCATATATTATTAAAAATGCATTAATAAATAAAATACAGAACCGGGAATGGTAATTTATGGTTTAGCCTAGTGACAAGTAGATTCGGAGACAAGTAAATTCGACTTACGTCGTTCTCCTGGAACCAATTACCGACGTAAGGCGAGGTATACCTGTATACAGAACAGGTTTCTTAGAAGCTAATTTATAATCTACAATATACTATAATATAATAATACTAGAATAACGGTGAATTTATTGCAAACCGAGCGGTAAATTACAATAGCTGATGCGATCAGCGGTGCCCGAGAAGCGGGCCAAGCAACAACCAAATTAGGGTCGGTTAGGGTAGCTGACCCGGCCACGTGCTGAGGTCAATGACCTTTGGTTCCTTTGTTAGGAGCGAATTTAAGATCATCTGTAAAACTAAGACTATTAAACATATACTCACGAAACTTAGCATACGAGTAGGTGCAGTGCTACTAAGGGAATTACCCGAGTAAGAGAGGAGCCGGTGGCCCGGAAAGCCCGCGCGACGGCCCTGTATGCGGATGTTTCCGGACATTATAAAACGAGGATGGACCGTCAGAATCAAAAACTGACGACGGTGTAGGAAAGGTTGAAGAAAGCCGAATTAAGTGATATATCGGATGCCGACTTGTCGGCGGAAATCGCCTGGACAAAACAATCGGAAACCTGGAACTTCCAGCTGATGTAACTTCCGAATGGCTGGGCCGATCCGGAAAAAATAAACGGCAAACGATAGCTTACAGAAAGACAAATCCAACAGTGTGTAATAATCCTCGGATTAAAGACTAACTTGGCCGATGCGATGAGCTAAAGACGGAGCTATTCCGCACATGTCCTTCACCGGAAGTACTCTCCATCCTCACTGTTTGAAGATTGGGCCTTTCATTAGTTGAGTCATCAGTTGAACCATAACAACAAACTTTTAGATGGAAGTATGACCTGTTTTTTCGTGTGGCAACCTTTATTTGATGGACTACCTGGAATGGCTAAGATATCCCTTCTTGTTTTGGTCTTTTGTGACATGTACAAAGACTATTTCTTACCTTCTCATAATTGGGGATATATTATCATCTTGAACCTTTGAAGTCATAAATGAAATTGAGACCGTTCTATTTGTACCTTTTATGCAATTACTAAAGGACAAAGCATTCTTCCTTGGATCCCCATGAAAGAGCATGTTTCCTTCGTTGTGGGACACGAAGTGAAACCCTCGATATAAAAGGTATTCTTACTCTCATCCCTGGAAATTTACTTTCAACCCAAACATGTTCCAGATGATGGAGAAGTATAATATTTAGGGACACACCAGAGAGTACGTCAGAAGACAATATATGGGAGTCGTCTCTCCTCTGTGAGATCTTCTCACGTACATCAGGGAATCTCATATTGGAGAGAGGTTCCCATATTGTCTCCCTAAGGCATAGCAAATTATGGCTACATGATGATATTTCTGATGTTGATGTAAAAGAGGTGCAAATCGAAACATAATTTAAAAATAACTTTAATATGGATACTTCCTTGTGATAAAGGGATCAGAGAACAATTTACACGAATACGTCTTTACCGTATACTTCCAATTTTCTGACATATGTGAATTATTGAGTTTAATTTTGGGTTCTGAGCATTTCTTGCAAGGTAAACTGATAACTTATACTAGATCAAGGTCATAAAATCCATCCCAGTATCCTGGTTTAAATTCATCATAGTCATCGACTCCTTTAAAGAAGTACAAATGATAAAAATTATTAAGAGTGGGAAAATGTCCTTCTGAATCAGAACAAGACAATTTAGCATTTCTCCATATCATTTCTTGAATGAATGAAATCATCTGGTTCTTTATCATTCTCCCATTGGATTTTCTTATTGTGTCTAAGGTGGGAAGACACTCAATTTTCAACCCATTTGATTTTCCTTGATAATAAGTATAATAAACTCTCAAACATCAACTTATTTTCCTTGAAACTCAAAGCTTCTTATTAGACATAACCACAATATTTTAATTGTAGGGCTATAAATCAGGTTGTCCTTGTTAAAGGTGATAAAATGGAAAAAGAAATTTTTGTTGCAGTTTTAATCTCTTCTTGTAACACGGATGGTTCTCTATATTATTTTTACAACTCTATCTCCTCATTCATACAATCGACACACTCAATCACAAATTCACAATTAAGAAGAAAATACTTGTTGCATTTTGATTTCTTGCTATGAACAAAACGACTTTCTGCTTCCCGGTGCTTGAAGGCGAACTGCATATGTTTGGACTTATGAATATATCATGTGCAGTCCTTTTTACTTGTTTTTGCTTCTATTGTAATTTAAAGGATACAAAAGGAAAGTTAATGGCATAAATGAGCAACCTATTCATCTCCATCAAAATCGGAACCAGCCTTTTCCTCAACTTTTTTCGTTTTGAGGATTTAATATGAACAATATAGACAATCTTAAAGAAAAACTGAAATGTTGAGAGTAAAATCTAAACTTTCTCCAGAATGAGTTTTTATCAATGATGTGTTTTAAGTTTGTAAAATTCCCGTGAATCTTACATTAGTAGTGCCTGAGAAGTGAATGAACACGATACTTAGAACATTACACATTTATTTTACATATATCATGTATCTACGGAACAGGGCTTAGCAACGACCCAAGAACAAAGCCACACTGCCCTCTGTTACAGAGTTTATATATCGGGCGTCTCGTCTTCAGGCGCTGCGCTCAACGCGCCCTTAACATGTCATGGTAAGACACGACATGACAATCTTTCTCCTCCTAGAAAGATACAAAATCTTTCCAATATTTCGGAGGTTGTCTTATGCGTGGCTGACGGTCCTCTCTGGGGTTGCTGATAGGTGCATCCAAACTCTGTTCCCCTTTGTCTGGAACTTGCTCTTCCACGTCCGACTTGTCATTTGGAGGAGACTCTTCGTTTGTCGGTTTGGCTGTAGTTTCCTCTGGAAAATGTGGTCGGATTTGGTCTGTATGACGTTTAATTATCTGACCATCCTCTGTACGGGCCGAATAAGTGACATTTCCTCTCACATTCGTGATGTCAGCTGGGGTCCAGTTCTCGGTGGAATTGAAGCTTCGAACATAAACTGGATCACCCACTCGGAAGGCTCGATTTGGAGATTTCCTTCTTACTTCCTCAATGCTGCCTTCTTTCGTTGAGGGGTAGCAATTATCTATGCAAGTCCGCAACTTCCGCCCATCAGCAGTTCCGCCGGACTCACTCCCGTTGCCGACGACAGTGTCACATGCTGTGATATTAGCATTCTCACTAACTTCAATCCTATGTCCTCTCCCTTCATTTTCTTTCAGGGCCTGCTTCGTAAATTGCACCATCCTCTCCGCTTGTCTGTTAGACGATGGATGAAAAGGTGCCATAGTGATGTGTTGAATACTGTTGTTATTAAGGAAGTTGCGAAACTCGCAAGATGTAAAGGCAGTGCCGTTATCTGATATGATCACTGTTGGTATTCCGTGTGTGGCGAACAGTTTCCGCAACACTTTAATCACTCCATTTGCAGATGTCAACAGCACTATATCCACTTACAACCATATGGACTGGCATCCACCACTATGAAAAATATTTTTCCCTGAAAGGGGCCGGCAAAATCTATGTGGAGCCTATTCGACGGAGCTTCCTCCGGTTCCCAAGCGGACATTGTTTTGGGGGGGCTATGTTGGACTGCTTGACAGCTCGCGCATGCCCTGACTAATTTCTCAATGTCGCTGTCCAGACCTGGCCACCAGATGTAACTCCTAGCCAGTGCCTTCATCTTAACAATACCCAGGTGAGTGACGTGCAACATATTGAGACAAGTTTTCCGTTGATGGGGAGGACTTCCCCATAGCAAACATCCTTTCTGGATTGACAGTTCTACACTTCTGTTTTCGAATGGTTGAAAAAGACCTGAAGTTTTCTGCTTGGGCCAGCCATTTACAACCCAAGTCTTCACCCTAGCTAAGATTGGGTCTTTATCGGTTGCTAGAGCTATTTTTCTAGCTGACAGAGATGCACACTCCATGACGTCTATAAGGAAGATGTCTCTCTCATTTGGTTGCTGCTCTGGAAGATTGGCTACCGGAAGGCGACTCAACGCGTCTGCGTTCTGTATAGATTTTTCTTGTCTGTAGACGAGTATATAGTCATATGCTGACAGGAGGTTATTCCATCGGAGCATCCGGGGTGAGATGATGTTTGGAGTCAATCTGGATGACGATAGTAAGGCAAGAAGAGGCTTGTGATCGGTCTGTATTTCACTCACCGCCTGTAGATATAGTCGTGAAATTTCTTAACTCCCGCCACGATTGCCAAGGCCTCCCTGTCTATCTGTGCGTAGTTACGTTCTGTTGCTGATAGCGTGCGCGAATAGTATGCAATGGGTGCCTCACTTCCGTCTGGCATGCGGTGGTTAAGGACAGCTCCAATACTGTACGGTGACACATCACATGTTAGCACTAATGGTTTTTTTGAGTCGAAGTGTGTTAGCACGGCATCTGATGTCAACAATGATTTGACGGCCTTAAACGCTTTTTCGTGTCTGGGCCCCCACTCCCACGGTGTGTTCGCATCCAGAAGACGATGCAATGGTTCTGCAACCGTGGCTTTGTTTTTTAGGAAAACATGATAAACCCCAGGAACCCTTGAAGCTCTCTTTTGTTAGACGGTACAGGACTGTGCCAAACTGCCTGGACATTCTCCTCCGAGGGATGAATTCCATTCGAATCTATCTTAAACACCAAAAATGTTACACTTGGGATGCCTATAACACATTTCTGTGTTTTAATGCACAAACCCGATGATTGGAATCTCTCTAGAACCTGCCTAACCTTATGCAGCAGATTTTCTTCGGATTTAGCTGCAATGAGAATATCATCAAAGTATGGGATTACCCCTTCTATTCCCCCTACAAGTTGTTTGATAAAAGCTTGGAAAATTCCTGGTGCCGCGTTGATACCAAATTGTAATCTATTGACCTTAAAGGCCCCCTTGTGTGTAATAATCGTTTGAGCCCTGGCTGTCGCATCATCTACCGCGAGCTGCTGATATGCCTGGGCCAGATCAAGCTTGGCAAATATTTTCGCATGTCCCAAATCTGCCAACAAGTGATTGATTGCTGGAATGGGATAAGTGGCGGGCCACAGTGCCTTATTAAGTGTAATTTTATAATCCCCACAGATGCGTACCGATCCATCTTGCTTCAAAATCGGCACAATGGAGGTAGCCCACTCAGGATCTGTTATCGGCTCTAAAATTCCCTGCTTGACCCATTTCTCAAGTTTGTCGTCCACCCTTTGACGAATCCCCAACAGTACGCACCTTGCCTTTAATCTGATGGGCGTTATGTTCGGGTCTAGTTTAATTGAAATCAGTTGGCCCTTATATGTTCCTAACCCCTCTTTGAATACCCTTGGAAACTCTTTCATCAACTCCTGGATTCGGTCTCGGGAAATGCAATATACGCCCGAGACTCATATTCCTAACTCTTTGAACCAGTTTCTCCCTAGCAAACTTATGTTGTTTCCCTTGGCCACAATTAGTGGGAGTTCCCGGGTGAAGTTGTTGTATGTGACCTTCACTTGGCATTGGCTGGCAATTCGAACTTGTTTCTTTGAGTACCCACGCAAAATGGTGTGGAAAGGATATAACTTCAGGGAGTTGTTAGCAAAAATCTTGTTAAAAACGCCTTCTGACATGATAGTGTACGGAGATTCCGAATGTACTTGGAAACGACTACTCTTTCCGTTGATTTTGACTAGCGCGGTGATAGCTTCGGTCAACAAAGGATCAGCTACTTGGTTCATGTGGGCCCCTGATTTAACTACTTTTTCCGTTTGAGACGAAATGGAAAAAGAATGTTTCTCTGAACAGCATACCTTCTGAATACGGCCCGGTTTTTTGCAAAGGAAACATTGGCTCTTTCGGTACGGGCATTCTTTGCGATTATGCTTTCCTCCGCATCCTTTACAGACTTTTATTGATTCAGGGTAGGTTGGTTGTCCCTTGCCCTTAAAATTGACCCTATTATATTCCTGATGCGTTCGCAAGCATTCAATGTCCGGTTCCCCTTTGTTCCGGATTAGACCTACTTCCGTTTCAGCGCATGCGTTAGGCCTAAGTTCTTTTGTGTAACGAACAGCGGCTTTGGCCGCTAAGGCCTCTTCCTGTGCCTCTAAAAACGATAGGTTTTTTTGAGCGAAAAGGTGACATTGAAGCGCCTCATCCAACAGACTACAAACTAATCTATCACATAACATCTCCTCTAAGTGAAGACCGAATTCGCAAAATTCCACGAGTCTACGCAACTCCGCAATATAGACAGACAGAGATTCTCTCACCTTTTGATCATGTCTATAGAATTGATTCCTATGAACAATTCGTGAGGGTTGGGGAGCGAAATGTGACCTCAAAACGTCCTTCAGTTCTTGAAAGGATTTCGTGGCTGGCAAGTTGGGAGACAAAAGAGACCTCAACAGGTTGTACATTTCTCGTCCGCATGCTGTCAGCAGAATAGCCTTCTTCCTCTCTTCGTCTTCTATATTGTTAGCAGTTAGATATGCGTCGAGCCTCTCAGCATAAGGAATCCACTGACTTGGGTGTGTAGGGTCAAACTCTTCCAGACAGCCGAAGGTAGCCATTGAACTCGCTCCACGTGGTACCGGTGAAAATCGTGCTTATTCTGTTTCCTCAGGACTTATTCTCAATCCAATCCCATCCTTGTTGCCAGTTGTAAAATCCCCGTGAATCTTACATTAGTAGTGCCTGAGAAGTGAATGAACACGATACTTAGAACATTACACATTTATTTTACATATATCATGTNGTTACGGCCACCAGGATCTTCTCCACCGGTCCGTCCTCTCCCAACGCTAGCTCGAAAGTGTCCTTCCCTTTCTCTCCTTGCCTCGGGGCCTGCCTCCACACCCTTGTTTTCAGTGTAGTACTTAGAAATGTTTCACCACCAGCTGGGAGACAAGACCGTTAGGAAGTATGAGGAAGGGTTAAACAAAAGATCGAGAGAACTTAATCCTAGGCTTAATACAAAAATATAAATATATATAAAAAAAACAACTGGTGTATCACCACATATGCCCCCCCAAGTCTCAAACACCGTAATGTAACTTACGGTAGTCAAGTTTGCACCCGCGGAGATTGTACGGGTGTTGTTTTTTTACAGAACTACCTTCATGACCAGTCCCTGTATCGTTCTTAACTTCAGGTTCACTTGATCGGTGGTTGCCTTCTTCCGCTCTCTGTCTTCTGTTAGATATCTCCATCCTCAAGTGTTCATATGGATCTTCTTCTTCCAACTCATCTTTCTCTATGGGTGTTTCCCTGATTTCCCGTCGTTGCGGAGCTCTTTTCGTCTTGTCTTTATACACTGGAGCGTAGTAGGCCTTTAGGCGATCAATATGTACTACCAGTTTTTCTTCCCTACGATTACCACTCAGTTCTACAGTTACAGGGCCTAGTAAACGAACAATTGTATATGGCCCTACATATTTCGGGGAAAATTTCCCTGTTCCCTTCCGTTTACCCTTCCGGAGCAACCACACCTTTTGACCTTCTTTCCATTCTTTAACCTTTTTTCCATTGTTTTCTCTCATTCTGTTTTTTAAGTTCCGCTTTCTCCCCAATTCGTATGCAGTCTTTCTTAACACATTCAATTTCTCGACGAAATCAGGACTCCTCTCTTGGTTACCGATGTCCTCCTCATCTTCTTCTGGGAATGCATTCGGAAAACGGGGATCAACCCCGTATAAGAGAAAGGCAGGGGAATCCTCCGTGGCCGAATGAGTTGAGTTGTTATAAGCGAACGTGGCCGGGTGGATAAAACTGTCCCAATTACAATTGTCACCCATTGATATCTGGGCGATGATTCCACATATCGTTTTGTTAAAGCGTTCACATACAGAGTTTGAGGATGGGCGATAGGCGGTCGTAACATTGTGCTTTATCGCCAGATCATCACATGTCCTTTGGAATAAACCCGAAGTGAAGTTTGCCCCTCTGTCAGATATAATGACATTAGGGCAACCATAACGACATATAATATTGTCAAAAAACTTTTCAGCAATTTCCTTAGACGTTTGATTTGGGATAGGGATTGCCTCAGCATAACGGGTGTAAATATCGACCACAGTTAATATGTATTTATTCCCCTTCTGGGACGTTCTTAGTGGGCCTATGATGTCAGTGGCTACCTTTTGAAAAGGGAGATCAGCAGTTTCAGTTTCCTGAAATGGAGCCCGGCCTTTGTTTAGGTTATGCTGCTGGCAAGTTTTGCACCCCTTGATTACACGTTTGACATGACTTTTTAAATTTTTTATATAATAATACCTATCAATTATTTGACATGTTTTCTTGACCCCGAAATGGCCAGATAGGTTGGAGCTATGGAAGGACCATATGACACGATCAACCATATCCCTTCCCACACACACACGGGCCCACTTCCTAAGCCCCATCCTACCTGGCTTCACATTCANTTATCTTCATTGGAGAAAGTGACTTCTGTCCTTGATCATCCAAAGTATATGGAGATTGAACTCATGACAGATAATATTGGATTCTAAGTTACTAGTTTCTTAATTTGAATTTTAAATACATCCTGTGAGATCTTCTTAAGAGTTCCATATAAAAGGATTGCATTTTTCTTCCCTTCTTCTAAAAGGTGAGAAATCTGACTATTTAACTCCCAGAGAGAGAATATCCACAGAGGAACAGCCAAGAATATAATATTTGAGAACACACCAGAGAAAGGAGACCACCTATGCAAAGGAAAAACCCTTATTAAACACTTTTATGATTTTGATAACAAAACCCAACATATCTATATAATAAAGTTTTATATTATAAAGGAGACAAAAGGGAGAAAAATCATCATCATCTTGTTTAAAACATATTCAAGAAGATGAAAGGACAAATGCACACGGGTTATCTGATGTCACACAAGGAACTTTACGACATTTTCATGTAAAGACATAACCTTACTGAATGATTTGTTTCATTATATATATATGTATATTTCATTTCCATTTTAATGATATGTTTATTTTGAATACAAATGTTTTCAATTCTCGGGATGTTACCCTCTGTCTGATTTGAACAACTATGTGGTACCAAGCACATGCTTTTTGGAATACTATTTCCTAAACATGGAACGAGGAAGAAGAATGAAATTTTTGAACATTTTTGAAACAAGGACGCACTATAATTGTTATTATTTTCAAGAGGTATCGTCTCCAACTATCTTCCATCTCCATAGGCATTATGTAATGCACTGGGGCTTTATACGAACCACTTGTTAAGCACGAACAGTGTCGCTACAGGATTGGCACGGGTTTCCCACAATTATATACTATTGATAGACAAATGACTGTTTTTGAAGAGCAACTACGATGAATTTCTGAAGATATGGGAGTACCTTTTTCTGATGACTATCTCTGGTAAAAAAATATGTCTCACAACTTTGTTAAATTGGTGTATTAGAATTATCATCGAGTTAAACGAAAAATAAACGATGTTTTGCCTCTTCTTCAATTTTTAGAGAGATTGTTTGAATAAATAATGTTTGAGAAACCCATGAGAGAAATAACCTCACTCCTTATCAACTTCATACATCATCCTCATATATAGCTTTATAAGAACAAGTGATATCAGGATTTGTCAGCCCAAATTTATAAAAGAAATTCAAGAAGAGAAGTTCACAAACTAAGCGTTTCCACACCACTTTTTAGTTCTAGACCCCACTCCTGCTACACTGTCAACATTCATACTTCTCCTAGGAGACCATATTAAGTTTGGCCAACCTCTGTTGTGTCCATATCTATTTTGTTGTACTGTGAAATTTAATATAGTATTGGTTTTTATCTATCATTTCAAATCCTTGTAACCTTATTTTCTCGAGATAAGGGTTTATCATACACAGCTATTGGTATTTTCCTTCCGAGTTTTTCGCCTTTGAGGTTTAACACATTTTTGTAAGGCAACACACTATTTTCTGTTCACATACATCTTTAGTTTACGAGATAGTGTCTTAATTTGAGTTATTTTAAATTCTAAGAAAGTATACCCCACTCTAATGATAGTACAACTGATAGATAGAAATAATCATAACATATGAAATAGTCTAGATGTAAGACCTATTGTAGTATTAAGAGAGAGAGAGAGACTTTTATAAAGTAATGTAGTGATCTAACATACTACCTTATAATAAGAAAAATTTACTTACTTTGGAATGAAGAAATCCCACTAACTGAATAAAAAGGATTCTCGCCAGAAGTTAGACATTTGTTCTTCATATAGCATTTGCAGTGAGGAACTCTTTTTTTGTAATGGTAAATCCGTTTACCACTACATCTTAAAACATCAACGTACTAATCAACCTGAGCTTTTGTGATATCCAAGACAGTTTAAGGAAGAAAAACATAACATCTCATCTCAATTGCACAGAAAACTATGAACTTATAATAGTGCTTTGTGTTTTAAAGAAGACAAGACGTGATCAACTGGGACCAATAATATTTCTGCAACTACAAGAAGTCACCAGACAGGTGTGCTTCAAAAAGACTTTCAACAAATACATTCCAGATGTTCACCAAGAACAATGACAACTTAATGACTTTTAAGAACCGTTTGTTAAACCCTTCTCCATAAGGAAATTAATTCAAACCGCACACCCCACTTCAGTCAAGTTATATTTAGAGACTTTCAGTGAAAGCAAGAGTGCATTCGAATCACGTGATGAACTGAATGAAATTTTTCGTCATCTTGAAGACGAAGAAACGTGTGTTTATTTTGTTTATTTTAATATTTTAATTTTCAAATTGTTTATTATTTTATTCATGTATTTGAGTTTTAATTTCTCTTATTGTATAATTTTAAGAGTTTCATTCTGTTTAATGCAAATTTTCAAAGAGAGAGTGAGTCAACCGAATTTTTGTATCTATGTGAAAAATCACGCCTCATTTAAATTTAGTGTGATTTTTGAAGATAAGGGAGTAATATGAGATCCGAATTATCCATGGGTCTAATTAACAATTTAAATATAACATTCAAATTATAAAGTAACATATTATTTCATTTTGGTGTGAAAATATTGTTTTTCTAATGTGGGAAAACTGATAAAAGAGCCACTTCCTTTAACGGAAGTAGACACATCCTTTTGTTTTCCACTTATCTATCACAAATCTCACCACACTGGGAATTGTCAACCTCCCAACAATTCCCCTTTTCATCCGTTCACGTCAGTGAAAACAAATAAGCTGATTGGTCACAAATCATGAGATATAGTCAAAGATCTCGATGATTCGGAGAGGACGTTGAAACATCTCATAGGGAAAGGAGGTATCCCATATTCGCTCCCTAAGGCCAACGCCCTTAGTTAGGAGTACGAAAAGGATCACAGAGAAGACCGACGTAGTCCATATTTGCTCCACAAATGCCCTTAGTCTTATCCAATCGAGTATAATAATGAGTTAATTTAGGAGTAAAAGAAGAACTTTTAACATTGTGCCAAATCAAGACCTCTCCATGCAACGAAGTAGGATCATCGAATACAGATGAACATAAAGACAAAGTAAACTTTGAGGTAGTGTGATTATAAATGAATTTGTGAGCTCTCTCTCTCTTTGCGTATATTTAATTAATCCATTGTCTCTCATTTGCTTAATTTTATTTTTGAATAATTCCATTTGTGTAATTTTATTTGCTTTTATTTTATTAAATCTTTTATTATTTGTTTAAAGAAATGTCTCATCTTTGTCTGAATCATATCCATATTATCTACAAACGCGTGTTAATCCGCATATCTAAATATGATTAACTGGTGTCGGGAACCTGACGAGGAAGAATGTGAATTTGCCATCACCAAATTCCGCTTAAAATTTATTCTAACTGTAAGTCCCTCCGCCCTCGATTTCCTCAAATTAGGAAAGCCATTCTTGTAGACGATCGAGATCTAGTTTCACCAACTAGCCGCCAATTAAGTGGTACTAACAATCCTAATAGAAAGGTAACCCCGGCTAGAATCTCACAATATAAATGTTTCAATTTAAATTTTCTATTGATATACACTGTAAATTAGTTTATCTTCAAATTACTTGAAGTATGCCATTTCATTTGTCATTAAACTGTCTACTTTTGTGATTGCTTCTAAACTTTCCTGTGCATTCCTTTTCAAGAAAAAACAAGTAGATGCAGTCTTTCACTCCGACATATACAATTCAAAATATCAACTTCTTTTATGTTTGTAACTCTTATTATTTTATGAAAACATTACGCTGCATATTTAATTTAATAGCAACTTTTTATTACTATGTGAAATTTAGCAAATTTTTTTAATAAAATATATTAAAAAATTGATTTCTAAAGATATTTATTGATATTTTAATTTAAATTTGGTAATAAGGCAAATATTCTGCCTGGTGGTTGTATGTTATTGTGTTTGATTTTTTTGAAAAGTAGGATAATGAGGACTTCCAGTTCAATATGTAAAATCCTGACAACTCATACATTGTTATGGGAGTAGATCATAATTCTGTGTGTATCACAGAGGCAGGGCAACATAGACACTTGGAAGTACACAGTGCAGGCAGGGTTTAAGCTGGAAATTTTTTCCTTGTAAATGTTTGGTTAATTCAAATAAAATTAGAAGTTTCTCACTAATATAAAATCACTGCCTGTGATGAAAATATGTGTAAATGAATAAGCTGTAATGTACTAAACTAAGTAATTAGCTAACTTTTATTGAGAATTATAGAAATGAAATTGTTATATAATTTATCTCTTTTAATCACTACATATAATTTACCTATTACATCACATTAAGATCATTTTTATCGGAATATATGTTGTGCATACAAAAAGTATACCTGTAGCATAGCAAATACATGTACACTATCAATGCTTACTTTGAAAAGGGCATTTTAGCTGTAAACATAAATGGACAAAAAGAAATTGACTTTATCATCAAGTCAATGAGATGAGAAATGGAAAGTTTGTTTATGAGAGATATTTTAGATCAATTACACTAACCTTTCACTTACAGTTGACATTGGGATTGATAAAACACATTCAGAGACTGCTCTCTGATGCAAAAATTCAATTAAATTTTCTTTCTCAACAGCATGGAATTCCATGAGCTTAGCAGATCTTCATTGCTTGAAGTTCTATAAGGGTGAAAGTGCTTGCTGGCAATTTCTGCAATTGAATTGTTCCTATAAAATGAAAATAATGATTTTGCATCTGGACTTTTGGTATGTCATTTGCATCAAAAGCAAACTTTTCTATGGTGGTAATGTCCCACAACACACTATGTTAGAAAGTAAACAATTTTTTCAACTAACTTGAGGTTAAAAAAGAAATAATGTTTATTGGACTGCAACTTGAAAAAAATTGTAGACCTATAAATTCCTACTGACAATTGTCTGTCTTTCCTTAATCTAAAGAACAGTGTTAGGTAAATGAAATTCAAGACCAGATAGGAGAAGCTTAGGAGTGGGAGGCTCTGATTAACTATATATGAACTTCCAATGCAAGCCGGAATCATAATATGTAGCATAAATTTATTTTTATGATACTTTATTTTTCCATATATAATATGCATTCTCGTTTTTGGCCCCAAACTTTCAAGGAAAAAAAAAATATTTGTTTATATTTAGGTACTTGTTTTTTTATTATAAAAAATAATTTTAGCATTTACTCTTTAACATATTATGGTACAAGAAATTTTATATACAAGTAAAAAAGTTACAAGTTTTATTCATCATAGAAGGCAAAGAATTCTTCACAATTGTTATTGATTTGTAGAATTACTTTTTTAACTCATACGCATAAATAAAAGAATTAAAAACATTTATATTGCTAAAGAGTTAGTACTGCCCTTTTGTAATGTGAATCCTTACTTTTTCCTTGCAAATGTACACAAAAAAATGTGCATTATACATGGCAAAGTAGAGTAATTTTTATATAATAAAGGGCGATATAATTTTCTGAAGTGAAAATGTAGTATCTTGATTAGAGATATTTGGAAAAATGAAAAGCTTAGCTAAACATTATTATTTTTTCAGATGTCTGGAACAATGTGCTATTGCAACTCGTAATAATGGCTGCCATGTAAGAAAGGTATTAAATAGGAAAGTCAGTTAATTTAATTTAGGTTTTCTAAAGATTTAATGATAAGAAAAAAACTGATTCAAAATTATAAAAAAGTAGGCAAATGGTTTCTTGATTCTTCTTATGTTTGCTCTGATCAGTTCACAGAAAATTTATTTTGAGAGGAATTTAAAAGCGGAGTTATTATGTATATCAGCTAAAGTGAAGAAGTTTTCTGTGCCAACAGTCAATTTGGAAAATATAGATAATGAAAACACTATTAATCAGTCATATCAGAGAAAGAAATATGAAAAAAGAAACTGTAAAAAATGATTAAAAAAGTAAAAATTTTATTATTTTGTATCAATATTATGAAAGGTGCCCTTAGAAATACAAATATATAATCTGATAAAGGTAAAAGGAAAATTAAATGGAAGAAAGGTATGAATTTGGCATTTAGTTTTGAGATATTTAAGCATAAGATCGTATTTATATTTAAGAAATCAAATGAACATTCCTTTACTTGCAGTTGCAACATTTCAATGATGGGCTTGGAAATTATCAAGGCAAATTGTTTTGTTTTGTTGATAATTTGTTTATAACATCATGAAAATTAATGAAAAATGATGCGTTTTACTACATAGCAATGACGCTAGTCTAAATAGTGGAATTTATGTAAAAGTGTTACATGTACAAATTCATGTGTATCATCTAAGTACTAATAGGGACTATTTCTATTTTTAGTTTAGCTTTCTGGTATTTTGCTGTAGCACCTTAGAAAAATGGTTATATTATTTAACACGTGGAATTGATGTTATTATCAAGTGTCACCAGTGAAGAACAATAACTTATTTGATCCTAATGTTAAATTCTAGAGATAAAAATTAGATTACATGTAATTTTTTATGACATGACGAGTTTTACAAAATGCAAAGTTTCCGTGACTCTACTGTACATTGTATATAATGTGATAAAGCTTTATTAATGACGCAAGACGACTGTTTGCACCATGGAAAGAAGCAGTTTAGATGGAGTTTGATTATAATACAAAAAAACTTTTTATTTAATGTTATTTCAAGATTGAAGTACGATATACTTACATTGCTGTTATTAGTGACTATCTGGAAATAATTAGGGATAAATACTTGTACATTGAGTAGTAAATTTATACATCCATCTAATGTAAATAATATGTACAGGTAACCCCCGTATAACACGGTAGTTACGTTGCAAAAAATTGCCGTGTTATGCAAAACAAAGAACTAGTACGAAAAGGAGGGTTAGGTTCCAAAAATTAAAAAACATGCTATTATATTTTTATAATTAAGATAAATATCTTTATTAAAATTTTTTAAGTGATATATATTAATATAAATTAAACAATGTTTTCTTTGTCATCACTAAAAGCACTACTAACCGAGAGCGTTTTATTTTTGGCAAGTTATCGTTATCTTCTGAGCATTTTTCTGCATTATTTTCAGATTCATGCTTTACCTTTTGCAAAAAGTGTATGTAATTTTAGATTGCTTGCTTCTAGTTAAAATATCTTTATAAATTTCCTTATATGGTGCTAAGCACTTATGGAATAAGGGAAAAACATCTGGCAACATAGAAGCAGAAGCGTCAAGATAAGGCAAAATTGAAACAATTTTCGCGAAGGATCATGTGTATGGAGACGAGAAAAGAAAATTTACACACTGATGTACTAATAGTTCACGAAAATAATAATTTTCGTGAACTATTAATACTTAAGTATGTAAAAATTTATTACATTTCATGTTGTACGAGGGTTTACCCATTTCTCGAACCGTGTTAGAGTGAATCTGTGCTATAGAAGTGCCGTGTTATACGGGGGTTACCTGTACTACTACCCATATGCACCTCATTTATTAAAACTTATTAAAAGTGGATTTTATGACTTTATATTATATTATACCATATATTAATAAATAAGGAATCATTACAATAGTTAAAATAGATTTTGATGAAATAAAAAGTTTGCTAAAAATTAAGAAAAAAACATTATATGTAAGAAATTTGAACAATAAAATATTTGATTAGCTTGTGAAGTAGAAAATATTTCTATTGCCATTGCTATTAAAAGATATATTAACACTAAAAATGCTTTAACTTGTGTATTCACATCATCAATTAATGCATGTTTTGATGTTACAATTACTTCTTTACCTGATTTTTAGAAGAATTATCAGTTTTGTAATAAATGTTTAGAGCTTTAGTATAATTGAACAAAACAATATACTTAATATTGAATAATTCTAAACAGTGACTTCAAAATTTTATAAAAATCATCATATTTTGACATGTAAAGTAAATCAGGATTCTTTAGAAAATCTGTTTTCTCAAATTTTGACAAGGGGACGATCACCCTAGTCCACTTTACAGGATATACAGAATTCAATGGTAATTTTAGTTAAATGACCTAAAATATTACAAAATAAATTAAACACTGAAGATAAAATAGCTGAAAGTTACTTAGTAATTTGCACAGTTGAAACATGTTTACTGCAATAAGTTTCAGATATGTCTAGTTTTAGAGGGTAATATCCAAACATTCATGCATTGTAAATATAAATGATGGTATTTACAAAAGATATCTGAGAAAAATGTAGAAGAAATTTCACTATATGAATTAAAAAAATGGTGGTATACAATATTTGATGGGATGGACTGTAAGGAAACAGAATAAAAATCTCCAAACTCTTAGTCACCAAATTATTCAGTAATATCATATATTCAGGGCTTGTAATATGGTGGATTATCACAACCATCAGAAAATTTTTACAGAAAATGTGATGCAAAGGTTCAAATGAACTGTTTCACCTGTAAGGTCATTAAAAGTGTTACAGGAAAAGTACTTTTTTAATATAGAAAATTGATTTTGACCAAATTATAAACTTGATATGATAGGTCTATTCTTTAAATAGTTAATATGTAATTTTTTTATAATTAAAGCTAGTTGTGTGTGCTTGGCCTTTTGAGAAAGGGGAGATGTGATAAAAAAACAACTGTCTTAATTACTAACTAAAATGTAGGATTTATGTGCAATTGGAAGTCTTTTAAACACTTCACTCATTGCTTTTTGGTAAAACTTTAGATATTTTAAAATAAACAATTCATTGTATTACATAAATCATTAATTAGTGCTCTTGGGGTTACCCCAACATTAATTTTTTCGATAACAATAGATTATGTGGATTATATACATTAAAAGTTGCAATATTATCATCATAAGCCGATAATACTTTTGTTTCGATAAAATTAGAGGCTAATAATTTATTAAAACAAACACTTTCTGTGTAAAGAGGATATATTAAAGACTTTTCAGATTGGAAGAAGGCATTAAACTCATTGAATATAGGTAATATAAATTTAAAAATAACCAGTTTAACATGTGGATTCTGTATTTGATTAAAAATAAAATGACATTGTTCGTTTTTTTCTTCCAAATTCTGAGACTCGAAAAACTTCAGCAACACATCTGTATGTAATGATGAACGATCTATGTTTTCTTCATCCTCTGGTGACAAAAATATGGAATGAAGAAATAGTCATCGTTTGTTCTTGAACCCCTTTTTTAGTGTTGTGTCGTCTCGACATTATTGTTGTCCTTAGTTAGTGAATTATTAGTATATAAATCTTCTCTCTTTAGTTTCATGAGACAACTTAAAGAGATTTGAGTTTGACCACGATAAAATTGTGACGGTGTATAATTACACTTCAAAGATTTCTTTACATTCCTCAATCGCAAATATCTATAAATATTACTTTTTTGTATAATTTGTTTTGTAAAACATGCGATTAAATGTGTTTTTAATCTATTATACGTAGTAAATGTGGCTGATATGTGTTCTTCTGGAATTTCGTGGTCCGATAAAATAACTAATTAACCTCCAATTTTGCAAACCAGTTATTAATTTAGACTTTGATGTTGAAAATAGTTTGCAAAGGTAGCAGTAAACACTTTTGCTTCTTTCTGAAAATATCAGCCAATCTCTCTTTTCCATAATTTTATTTGATTTTTTTCTGTAAAAATGATCATAAGAAAGTCTTTTGTAATACACTTCATTTCTCTTTACAAACTGATTTGAAATTCTGTATATTCCTAATACTTTTTGGTTTGTTTTTAAGATTATGGTCAATAATAGCATATGTTAAAAATTTTGTTGGCCATAAAGCTGTATCATTTGTCTATATCGAAACGTCTATCTGGATTATCTATATCTTNACCACGCAAAAAGAGGGATAGATATATCTAAGATATTAAGATTATTTTCAGTTTTGCTTGGTCAGTTAACTTATTAATTTTTCTGGTTATTTATCTTGTAACTTTGTTCTTAAGAAACTGTACTGGAATAATTTATTTATTATGAATGAAATTTATAAATTATGCTAATGAAAGTAAAAATAAAAAAAAGCATTACTTCAAATAAAGTGTTCTATTTTTATAGAATCAAAGTTACAAATTTTGGTATGTCTTGTAAAAGGAAAAATGGTATTTTATGTTGCAAAAAGTTTAAATTTAAATAAAGTGTTCTATTTTTATAGAATCAAAGTTACAAATTTTGGTATGTCTTGTAAAAGGAAAAATGGTATTTTATGTTGTAAAAAGTTTAAATTTAAATGTAAAAAATTAAATGTTAAATTGTCGCTATTGTGGCGACAAGTCATCACAGTTTGGAACTGCTGTGATGTTTTGTAAACATTTTTCCAGTTACATAATAAAGGTTGGTAGTGCTGTTGACACCTCGAAGAGCTGTTAGAGACAGTGACCTTGTTTCACTCTCCCCTTTTCAGCACTGACTTTCCGTGAGTCAAGACAGTGTTTCATAACCAGTTTTTATTAATCTCCAAAAAGCAACACCTAGTCTAACTGCGTAACTTGCCCGGCTATTATGAAATTTTCATCAAAAAGTAACCTTTATGCTATCAATCGTAATAAATATAATAAATTGTGTGTGATGCCATCTCTTATGAGATTTTTATCAATTACTAACAGATGAGCCCAGCATTGCTCGGGAAAAAAGTAATGATAGTGACGATTAAGATTATAGCCATTTTCATTGGGTGCAACAAACCTTAATTCTCCCAAGGGAAGAATTTTGAAAAATCCCTTCTTTGTGTATCAAATTTCAACTCCTAACAATTTGGCTTCTGCGCTTATTATTATGAACCTATCTCGACTATAAGATTAGAAAACGGCAGGAAGCTTAATTTTGAGGGTTCAGAGGAATTTTATAAAAAAAAAACTGAGGGGTGCTCATGTTTAAAAATGTTTTTAGTTGCACTTTCTGCCAATTTTAAGGCTTACCATGAGCACCACACTTACTTTTAGTCGTGTGCTACCAAAAATAGTACATTTATTTTTTTCACCTTTTACACTAAAAAGTGAAAAAAAAAACATTATTTGAATAGAAGAGTTTTCTTTTTCATATGCATATTATTTTTCCATTATATTGAGGGTCAACAATTAACTGATATTGTTGTAATTGGGAAATTATTGAACTGGCGAACATGCTGCTCATCTTCATTTTTATTATTCTGTTAACTCCTCTCGACGTTACTAATTACCAATCAAATTGGAATATGGAAAAGATGTCAATGCTCGATTCAATTTTACCTAATGAAATAGAAAATGGCAATTTACCCACAGTAAAAGACAAAGGGAGAGACAACGATAATGGAAACAATAGACATAGCAAGAATGACGTTCGGATCTCTTCTGATAAACATGTTAGAATATTACACAGGATCGAGAGTCAACAAGAACAAAAGGAAGACTTTGTTAGATTAACGGTGGTTTCGTTATTAATGCCTTGTTTGTCTCATGGGTAAAACTAATGAAAAAACTGTCATGGTGGATGCTTATCTGTCATCCTACCTTACAAGTTCGTTCTCTCTGTTTACAGTTATTAGGTTGTTACTACTTCCTCAAGCGATTTTGTACACCAGATTCAATCTCAAAAAAAAAAAAAAGAAAAAAAACACAGTATTTAAAAATTCTGGTTACAAACAAATAAAAACTTTCCTTAAGAAAAGGTATGTGTTAACAGGAATTTCAAAACCTTCTATATAATTTGATTCTAAGAAAATTTTAGAGGGGTGTTTTAAAATTTAAAGTCAGGTTTACACCTTTTCACAATATGTTTTTATTCAGTCTCAATAAATCATTAAATTTATTTCCTTAGATTACAAAAATAAGATTTAAACAGGCTGAGACTTGCTTAACAAATATCAATAACAAAATACAGTATACTGAACGTAATAACAATTAACAGTATAAGTTACATCATTACAAGGAAATTCGATTTGAGGAAGAAGTAAATTTATCACATGTCGAAGTTTCTGTCCTTGACACAATAGGGATTATTTAAGTCTTCCTTTCACAAATCCAAGTTAAATCATGATTAAGTTTTCGTTTTTGAGGACCACAGAATGACTAACAATACACGACCATTGTATCTTCCATTATTAAAAAGATTCAGTGCCAGTCGGCGGTCAGAAGTTGACGATCAAATAAATATCCAGACCCAATTTGGGTGACGTATGCTTCGGCCTGAAGGATCTTCTGTATGAATGAGGCGTAGGTAACAAAGTGTGAGCACAGTCTATCGCTTTGGAGATAACCCTGCAAATCGATCGATGGCATAAGGCATTTGAGAGTAGCTACGCCTATGCTGGTCACTTTAGACAATTTATACAGGAACACTTTACTCAAATACATTTGCGAACAATCACGCATCTTGACTCCTGATCCTGAAACATTATCAGTACGTTATTGTCAATTTCTCAAAAAATTATAAACATCTTTATTTACTTCTATATTAAAATAATAGGATTTTCAGTAATTCTAGTCTTATTCCTTTAGGGTATGTAACAACTTAGTTTTTCAAATTTTTATTTGTTTATATTTAGGTACTTGTTTTTTTATTATAAAAAATAATTTTAGCATTTACTCTTTAACATATTATGGTACAAGAAATTTTATATACAAGTAAAAAAGTTACAAGTTTTATTCATCATAGAAGGCAAAGAATTCTTCACAATTGTTATTGATTTGTAGAATTACTTTTTTAACTCATACGCATAAATAAAAGAATTAAAAACATTTATATTGCTAAAGAGTTAGTACTGNCAGGAACACTTTACTCAAATACATTTGCGAACAATCACGCATCTTGACTCCTGATCCTGAAACATTATCAGTACGTTATTGTCAATTTCTCAAAAAATTATAAACATCTTTATTTACTTCTATATTAAAATAATAGGATTTTCAGTAATTCTAGTCTTATTCCTTTAACTTTTATAAGTTTAGTGTATGTAACAACTCTAGTTTTTGACCATTCCTTCTATATATGTAGAAGTGATGGCCATTTGTAAACCTGTTCTAACTGACAAAATGTCTTCTGTGTTCTTTAGTGATGTTAGAACAGTAGTCAGTATATTTAAACACAATGTAATTGACAAGTTGTAAACTGCGATAGTGAAACAAGACTAACATTGCAAAGATATCAGAAGAAGAATAATTTCCACAACCCTAGCTCAAACACCATTCTGCCTTACATTATTTGTGCAAGAGTCATCTTTGTGGAATTCCTAGAATTCGCTGGAGATATATCTTAAAAAAATTAGTTAACCTTATTTTCTGTCTGTTCGTTGATTATTTAATTATTACTAATTTATAGATTAAATTCTACGAAGGTTCACAGGGCATCTATATAAACATAATTCCAAATTAGATAGGGAGATTATCTAGCAATAAAACAAATAATCTTAAAAATACATTAGCAAGTAAGCATGTTTCCTCTACAAAAGAATAATAAACATTAAAGTTTATGTAATAATTTAAGAAAAACAATGTAATTTTTATTCTTGAAAACCCTGAAAATTAGTGCATTGGAATTCTTGGCTAAAGTTCCGAAGTAGGAAAGAGATTTAGTAGTAGTTACATGAGTTACATAAGCCTTCAATGTATTTTTGTTTTAGTAGACCTAGTATCAGCTAAGTTGCGTGACAAACTCCAGTTTTTTTTTCTATTTGTTAATTCTTGCAATCCATGACTTTTAGGACATCCTTTGGGGGAAAAATTAACAAGACAATCCATTCCAAGCCATGTTCTGGATATGGTCTACAGACACAACAAATACAAACCTGAATAAAAGAAAACAAAGGATTCTCGTGTTAGCTCTTCACCTTTTCGTACCCTTCCCAATTAATGTCCCAGTGTGTAGCAACTCTTTTAATAGGTTGTAATGACATGCAAACAGGCATAACTAAGGCTTAGATGTAATTAGAAACAGGATATGTTAATGCTGAAGCAAATTGCTTACAGAATCTTACGGAGATATCATAATTGACTAGGAAATAAAACTGTTCAATTATGAGAGATTAATGGGTTCATAAACCATTCTTTATAACTTTTAGAAGACTGAAGAACTAATTTAACACTGATACAATGTATTGCACATGTATGTCAATTGGATAAACTTTCCATTTCATCAAAGAAATCTTTTCTATTTATGAACAGAATTTAAGGATTTCAAAAAGTCTATCTAATGGAGTGATACGTTTCACCATTTTCTTTACAAATTCCGTTAGTAAGCAAAATATATTTGTGTTATTTGTAACATTAAACACAGAGATTTCAATTTAGACAAATTTGAAATTTCTCGAAATAATTCTCTACTTGCCTGGATCCGTCAACAACACCACTTGCGTTGGTACTAATGGGTTTCCCTCATGTAATCCCATTTGATAGGCAGTGTCTTTTATATTTTGAATCATATTCTTTAATTCTGAGGCGATTTCGTCATCGTAGGGCGACGATTCTGGAATATCACTCATTGCGCGAATAAACAGCACCACTTTGATTATATTGGCTTGAATCAAGCTTCGAGAATCGTGTATAGTAAAGTGACTCAAGAGGTGCTTTCTTGTTTGCAACAGACAATGAGCGAAGCCTTCGTTTATGAAGCGATACGGAATACCTTCGTCTCCGAGTGGGCGCTAAAATAAGAAAACGTGTTAAATTAGTGAAAATTTACAACAAAGACTTCATTAGACAGAATAAATTTAAAGTCCGAGATTATGGAAAAGTTTAAATTGTTACATCGACTCAACTTGCCAGTTGAGTTTTTTGCGATTTCAATCACTGAGGAAAGTTTTTTGAAGGGTATATTTGATAAACCTGAATGACGAATGATCTTGAAATTCCTGAAGAATCATCAGAAAAATAATTTTGGATTTGAATCCCTGAAGATAAAAAAAATGTGTTTAAGTGAGGAGGGGCTCCCGTAGAAAGGGACATGTGCCCCCATTTTCATCTCGATTGTCCTTTTCCTAATCCCAAAACAGAAAATTTGTGACTTCTAGCCTACATATGTACTGTAAGGTCTCTTTTTATGCGGATTATTTTTATGTGATTTTGAAGTTGTGCGGTTTATTTCATCCAAAAATTTCTTGGACAAACATACCTATAGACTTGTTTATGAAGCCCGCGTATAGACAGTACCAAAAATCGTGGAACACTCAAAGCTCACTCCATTTGTTCCACTGACATATAATGTTTATGGATGTAAAGGACAGCTAGATCTACCTTAATCACTTTAGTTCCTAGCAATTTTTGATATAAATGTAATTAAACATAAAAAATACTTAAAACTNAAAAAAAAAAAAAAAAAAAAAAAAAAAAAAAAAAAAAAAAAAAAAAAAAAAAAAAAAAAAAAAAAAAAAAAAAAAAAAAAAAAAAAAAAAAAAAAAAAAAAAAAAAAAAAAAAAAAAAAAAAAAAAAAAAAAAAAAAAAAAAAAAAAAAAAAAAAAAAAAAAAAAAAAAAAAAAAAAAAAAAAAAAAAAAAAAAAAAAAAAAAAAAAAAAAAAAAAAAAAAAAAAAAAAAAAAAAAAAAAAAAAAAAAAAAAAAAAAAAAAAAAAAAAAAAAAAAAAAAAAAAAAAAAAAAAAAAAAAAAAAAAAAAAAAAAAAAAAAAAAAAAAAAAAAAAAAAAAAAAAAAAAAAAAAAAAAAAAAAAAAAAAAAAAAAAAAAAAAAAAAAAAAAAAAAAAAAAAAAAAAAAAAAAAAAAAAAAAAAAAAAAAAAAAAAAAAAAAAAAAAAAAAAAAAAAAAAAAAAAAAAAAAAAAAAAAAAAAAAAAAAAAAAAAAAAAAAAAAAAAAAAAAAAAAAAAAAAAAAAAAAAAAAAAAAAAAAAAAAAAAAAAAAAAAAAAAAAAAAAAAAAAAAAAAAAAAAAAAAAAAAAAAAAAAAAAAAAAAAAAAAAAAAAAAAAAAAAAAAAAAAAAAAAAAAAAAAAAAAAAAAAAAAAAAAAAAAAAAAAAAAAAAAAAAAAAAAAAAAAAAAAAAAAAAAAAAAAAAAAAAAAAAAAAAAAAAAAAAAAAAAAAAAAAAAAAAAAAAAAAAAAAAAAAAAAAAAAAAAAAAAAAAAAAAAAAAAAAAAAAAAAAAAAAAAAAAAAAAAAAAAAAAAAAAAAAAAAAAAAAAAAAAAATAGAGAAACAATTGTCATCCTACTTACATAAAGCCTCGATATGTCTTTCCACTGTTTTACTGTTTTTATTTCTGATTGAAAGTTGCTTATCAAGGGAATCTACCAAATTCAAAACGTCTACAACGGTTAGCATTTGCTCTTCCTCTTCGCATATTTCCTTTAATAAGATCGAATATTCTTCAGCTAATATCGTTGCTTCCGGATGAGCGATACACGCTCCACTTGCTGTCTCATCTAGAGATAAAAGACAAGATTGAAATATATTTGATCAAACAGAGGATAATGAGGACTGGGCAATTACCTAACTTGAAGAGGCAAACCAACTTTAGGAGATACAAATGGTAAAATGTAAATTTTAAATAGAACATCTGTGTGGCTGTATTCAGGATAGTAATGAGCAAGCATCTGTGCTTGTACGATTTTATGTCATTCGGATTGATGTATCCCCCATCCACTTTGAAGGCTGGGCCTTTGCCTACCTGATCGGCTATTGCTGTTAGGTATCTTCCTTTGTTGCCATTTGCTTTTAAAAGAACGATCTAAAACGAAAACAAATCTTCGTTTAGAATCATAATGAATCTCCGGCCTAAACTAGAATTGTGAAATACTACACTAAACTGGGAGCCCATTAAGTCTTTCACTAAAATCAAACTTTGACTTACAGCACTAACTACAAAGTGTCTATCCTTCTTCAGAGATCTAGCTAAGTGTTGCTTTCAATAATCCTTCTTCAACAGTTCAATGGGACTTTAAAATCCTTTAAGTTGTAGAAAGTATTGTAAGTGTAATAAGCAGAAGAGCTTTGAAATCTTTCTTTTTTTCCCTTCTGATTATCCCAGATGACCATTCATCAATATGCTCACTTAAGTGGTATGAATACTAATCCTTTCTACAGGATAGATCCTGAAATTTCATCCTTCGTTTCATCTTAGTGTAATTGTACTTCAATCCAACCGCCCAGAATATGTATAAACAAACAATGACTTAATCACCCAAATATACGTAAGTGGGGGAAGAATGCTAATTTTTTCAATGACGACCTCAAAAACAATTCATAATTAAATATACTATGTCACCAATGGAAGAATCATTGCATCTTCACATTCTGCTGTTGTGTTTAACAATTGGAAGAAATGCAAAAAAAATCACTCATCTTTGCATTGTTGAAATGCAAATAAATTAACTGCATGGTCAGTAAAAACGTCTATATATTCAGGAAAATTTAGTTCCATTTAAAAATTTTTTTCATTTTTGCACTTCTGTTAACAATTAAGTCTTTTCTCAGGCTCATAATAGAGACATTTGCATAACAGACCGTCCGTGTAAAACACTTGAGAAAGTGAACCCCAAGAGACTTAATGGGCAGAGAGGATGCTAACATAACCTTAAATACGTCAGTCTTAAGAGGATGTTAAATCTGAAGGTCGTCACTTACCGCTTGGTTGACGTTCAATTGAAAGATGTCTTTCTGCTCCCAGATCCATTGAACATATCGCTCCCAACACCGATCCATGTATTTGGCAAAGTGAGCATCAGCACCTTTTACTTCCAAAGACTGTTTTTTATATAAAAATATTTAGTTTCTTGTATATTGACATGTATTATCGCGTATCTTGTAAATTCCACACATCGAATCGAATATCCAATTGAATAATCCATCATATTGAATTAAAATTCCATTTTGTGACAAGAACTGTTCATGAATCTACTATTATAAATCGATACTAATTCAAGAGAGGACTTACCCTGTCTTTAGATCCTCCATCCACATACTCTTTCATTAATTCCGAATTGTACTCGATTTTTTCATATGCTAGGTATGGAAGAAATAAATTTTAGAAAGAAATAAGACAGTCTCTAAGTAATAAAAACACTCACTAGAAATATCGTCCACGTTCAAGTATTGGAAAACAATAGAAAGAAGACAGGAAGAACAATTTTTGGGACATCCAACACGGCAGAAGACTGTTGACCCCTTTTCAACCAGTTCTTCAATTTTTGGGTTGCACTCACAACATAAGTATATGCTGCTGTAAACTTGACCTATTTCTTCACAAATGTAACATTTTCCGACTGTTGATACGTGAAGTTTTGCTTCCAATTCTGTGTTCTGGTCATTCATTTCTCTTTCTTCTTCTTCTGCATCTGTTTTTTCATCATCTGTTTTTACTTGAGCTGTTTCTTCTTCTTCTTCATCCATTCTTTCTGAAATATTAAATAGATTAAAGAAAGTTTCAGGTAAGGTCTCATATGCACCATATTTTGTTTCTTTCAATTAAGAATTTTTTATGCCCATTACAAAGTTAAGATTTTCTCATTATTCTAAGAATTTTAAAGATTGTCAAAATTACTTCCTTTAATTCAAATGTTCCACGTAAATTTGGGAAATTCGTGTGGGTTGTCAAATCAAAAATCAAAATTTTTATTATGTATCAGGTGATGGTTTTTGTAATTTGGAGTGTCCAAGAAGTACAAAAATCCATATACAATCACCACCATAGATGGTCACTAGGTTACGCAGGGTCTTACTAAACATGATTTGACGTGCGTAGCTGTGTACAGTTGAAACAGGTGACAATTTACAATATGTATTTCTCTAATACCAACAGTTAGCTTCTGTGCTAAGCTACACACTGCAGCTACTTTCTTGTGCACCACCCCATATAATTATAAGAATTTAAATGTAACAACTGCATCTACTTGCCTTAATTCAGGAATGCTCTATATTGAAATAATTTACCTGTATCTGGGTCTTCAGAAACTGGAAATGATCCTATCATTCTAGTTTCAACAGAATTATCCTGTGCTCCCTCATAAATAGTCTCCTCTTCTTCCATTTCAATTTCTAAATTAGTATAATATTTAGTAACTAATAATATGTAAAATCATAAAAGTTCTATGAATAAACTTATGAATTGATTGGTTACCTTCTTCTTCTTCTTCAGTGATATACAATTGATCACTATCAGCTACAAAAGAAAAAATAATGGCCAAAAAATTAATAGAGAGTGTGACATCAAATGGGCATATTTTGAAAAGTTTGATCAGATTTATGGTTATAAAATCGTAACTATGTAGCGGCTTAGTGTACAAAGTAGTGGAGATGTATATGGTTGCGGTGCATGGGAATGGGTGAAATATTTAAAAAAGCGTCACTATGCTAGTGTCTTAATCATTGGATAACAATAAAATGTTGAATAGTGATCCTCATTTACGCACTCTATGTTATACACCTAATAAATAATGGAACGTTCTACGGCATTATGGAGTATAACAGATGAAGGATGGCCGTTAAAAAGTGTAAAAAATAACTTTACATAGTTTATGGATGATCCCGAACATTATTACAGGTGAAAAGCTTTATTTTAGAGGTAGAGGAGTGTTTTTAAAATAACTATAAATGCAACATATACTGTACTGCCACTTGATATAATTTAAACGTTATGTAAGGTTTCATTTGAGCCCTCATTTGCCGAATTTGACAATGGGAAGTGTTGCTTGTGCAGTGTCATAAACTTTGCCTACTTCGATGATGTAAAGGCTGTTGCCAAGTAGTTTGGAATATTTCATATTGAAGGGAAGAGGTGTAAAAGCAAGTTCCACGCGGGGACCTTTTCCTTTTTCTACTTGCATCTAAACGTTACCCATGTGATTCAATATGTTTTTCCTGAATATTAAATTATATATGAACCTTCATAAGTGAAAGTTATTTTTAACCTCCAACAAGATCGGGTTTGTTCCTTCCAGGAAGAAATGTCACCGGTCCCTTTTACACACTAATCAGTCCCCTCCACCCGATAGCCAACTCGAAGTGTTTATAGCTCTCTCAGCAGTAACAGGCAGAACTATTCATTTCTTTGGAGAATTCATACAGTAAGGATGATATTCTAGACCAGCAGTTCTTAACCTGGGGTTGGGGGTGCAAGAGAAATTTCAAAATTAAAAAAAAAAATACTAACAAGACGACCATGTTATCTACAAACTGTGGTACCCAGCAACACAGCACCCCCACTTCTACACACACTAGTCTCTCAGCACATAGCGCTTGTCATTAGTCGTCAGTCAGTACATGCAGTTAATGTAGTCACATTGTCACGTGCAGTGTAGAAACTAGTTGAGATGTGTTTGCAAACCATGAATACAGCACATCAAAACAAAAACCAGAAATTGCTTAAATTCATCTGACGATTTACGCTTGGCTCTTTCAAAAAAATAGCCTCGTTTCTCGTTTTAATAGAATTATTACGAATAAACAACAACAACCTAGCCATTATAATTTAAATATTGCTTTTTATGTTATATAGTAAAGTAATATATATTGTAAATTAAACACGGTATTTGTTTATGCAATAAATGTTTTTTCTTAAAAAGAAAATATACGCACATTTATTTAACGGGATGCACGAGCTTATTTTCAGATTCAAGGGGAGGTGCTGACCACTAAAAAAGGTTAAGAACTGCTGTTCTAGACAAATCCTTTGTGTTTAGTTTTACGATTAACGAATAAATAACTTTTCAAATATGTAAAGGTAGGTACATATTTTCTGTTAATAGGCTATAAATACAAGATACTGTTAATACAAACTTTCATAATTCACGTGGTCGTCGTCTAACACGTGTCGATTAGTGAAATCCGCCATCTTGATCTTAAAAATACTCCTTTTTACATTTATTAAAACTTTTATTATTCATAATTAAAATATATTTAAGATTTCAATATTTGGTATAGTATAATCACAATTGACATTTTGTATTATTAAAGAAAATTCTATAAATTATTCACACACTTAATGACAATAAAATCTATTTTCAAGTAAAATAATGCATAATTTTACAATCATTTTTGCCTATATTATACAACATAAATCCCTCATTTAGGTCTACAAACTTTCGAAAAGTTTATCAAACGTAATGTAACTGGAAGGTTATTTTAACACTCAAAATGCCACTTTCTAATTAGTTTCACGGCACGTTTCGAATGTATTCTTTAACTTAATTAAATAATAATAATAATTTATATTCAAAACTTACCTTCTACATCAATATCTCCCGGCAGTTGACGATCGCCCTGCATCTTCGTTCGGAGTCAGATTTAAAAGTGACCGCTACGTACAGTGGGGACGTACTACACTAGCACACGTGATTTAAAGCGAACCGTCGCACCATCTACCGACGTCACCCGGAAATATTTTTGTCACCAAATTTTGCAAACTACTCACGTGTTAATTTTATTTATGCCGATTCATCTATCGATAAACATTACAAAGGTAATTATTTTATCTATTATATTTGCTGTTTTGTATTGCTATTATTATTATTTATCTTATTGAAAATGTCATACTCGGCCCATACCGGTTCCAAGTGCCATGCCACACCAAATTCAAGTCATAGCTACAGTGACCATAAGTCCTTTATTTCACTGCTCTTCCCTCTAACTTTATTTATTTTATAAAATAGGCATTTTATTTCCTTTATTTTGTAAATTTAATGCAGAGTTTAAAAACTTTTTTAATAATATAGTGAACAAGTTAGTTTCTTGTACGCCATCACGATCAGTGTTGTCATCGTGTCCTTACTTTGCTACATAGAGTGCGGTAATTCAGTGTGTCGCCAACCGAACGGCCCTTTGACAGTACCAAGGAGCGGACACTGTTATGGGGATTTTTGTGATAGTTTTTTAACTCTGGTTGGTGAGCATTCGTCGACACTTGTCGACAATCTTCGGGGACTCGAGCATGTGACGTATGTACTATATAATTGGGACATGTGTTTTATTGAAATAGAGGTAGTTTGAATGGGTTACATTACTCAAAATCCCTTTGTGTGAGTGAAGGTAGAGGAAAGCTATATTTTTATTTCGAATCATTGGTCTGTAAATATATGCTACAGTGAATTATTTGATGAAGTTTCGAGTGTAAAAAAATATGTCACAAACGAAAAGATTGACGAATGGCGACAGAATAACAAGCCCTGCCATCAAAAGTGGGTGTAAAATCGTAGAATTTTCTTTATGCCTCCCTGGATCTAATGCCCCGTCAAACGAATATTTTAATAAAACAAATACACTTTCTATGTAAAGAGGAGATATTAAAGACTTTTCAGATTGAAAGAAGGCATTAAACTCATTGAATAGAGGTAATATAAATTTAAAAATAATAAGTTTAACATGTGGATTCTGCACTTGATTAAAAATAAACTGACATTGTTCTTTTTTTCTTCCAAATTCTGAGACTCGAAAAACTTCAGCAACACATTTGTATGTAATGATGAACGATCTATGTTTTCTTTATCCTCTGGCGACAAAAATATAAAATGAAGAAATAGTCATCGTTTCTTCTTGAACCCCTCCTCTAGTGGTGTGTCGTCTCGGCATTATTGTTGTCCTTAGTGAATTTTTAGTATATAAACCTTCTTTCTTTAGTTTCATGAGACAACTTAAAGAAATTTGAGTTTGACCACGATAAAATTGTGACGGTGTATAATTACACTTCAAAGATTTCTTTACATTCCTCAATCGCAAATATCTATAAATATTACTTTTTTGTATAATTAGTTTTGTAAAACACGCGATTAAATGTGTTTTTAATTTATTATACGTAGTAAATGTGGCTGATATGTGTTCTTTTGGAACTTCGTAGTCAGATAAAATAACTAATTAACTTACAATTTTGCAAACCAGTTATTAATTTAGACTTTGATGTTGAAAATAGTTTGCAAGGGTAGCAGTAAACACTTTTGCTTCTTTCTGAAAATATCAGCCAATATCTCTTTTCCATAATTTTATTTGATTTCTTTCTGTAAAAATGATCATATGAAAGTCTTTTGTAATACACTTTATCTCTGTCTTTACACACTGATTTGAAATTTTGTATATTCCTAATACTTTTTGGTTTGTTTTTAAGATTGTGGTCAATAATAGCATCTGTTAATTTTGTTGCCCATAAAGCTGTATCACTTGTCTATATCGTAGCATCTTTCTGAATTATCTACATCATCTGTGGTTTCGCAATCCCTTTTTTCAGTAGCATTTTAAAGATCTCGGGGGCTTCTTTATATTCCGGGACCCTATGCAGCCACTTAACACTTAATCCTCCACTGAGGTATATACCACAAATGCTACCACTAAACAGCAAAAAGTGACGTCATAGAATTTTTGCACGCCTTTTATAACTTCGGGAGTTGCCACGTTTTCAATTTAACAATTAAAAAAAAATTCTCAGGCAGATTTATTTTTGTTACAAAATGATATCTTTTCAGATTTCTAGCTCTGCACACTGTAGAAAATCTAGAAATACAGTTTTGTATATCATAATAATGTTAGTCGTTTCCAGAGAGTGCTATAAAGTAGAGAAAACTTTCTTAATTTAATTTTCTCAAAAAATAAATAAAAATATTTCTAAAGTCGCTGACTTGATTGCTGTCGCCACGGTTTGGAACTGCTGTGATGTTTTGTAAATGTTTTTCTGGTTACATAATAAAGGTTAATAGAGCTGTTGACCCCTTGGAGAGCCGTTAGAGACGGTGACCTTGTTTCACTCTCCCTTTCCAGCACTGACCGACCTTTCGTGAGTCAAGACAGTGTAATCTTTGTTTTGTAACCAGTTTTTCCTAATCTCTGAAAAACTACACCAAGTCTAACAATTTCAAGGCACAAAAAAAATTGTTTGGGATCAAGTTAGAGTGGTTAGATTTAGAGGTAGATGGGGGTTGGGACAGTCCCAATTTTTCTATTGGGTGGCAAAAAATATTCTTGTCAAATTTGGTGCGGATTCGTTGAACAGTATACAACGTGCTAACATATATACAGTATTACGTGTAATGCCATTTGTTAAGTCAAAAAGAAGTTTAGCAACAAGTTGCATAACTTGCCCGGTTGTTATGAGATTTTTATCAAAAAATAGCCTTTATGCTATCAATCGTAATAAATATAATAAATTGTGTGAGATGCCATCTCTTATGAGATTTTTATCAATCGCTAACAGATGAGCCCGGTGTTGCTCGGGCAAAAAGTAATGATAGTGACGATTAAGATCAGAGCTGTTTTCATTGGGTGCTAGAAACCTTTACTCTCTCCCCGAGGAAGGAATTTCGAGAACTCCCTTCTTAGGAGTTGAAAAGTTGAAATTTGGTACACTAATCGTTTGGGCTCTGAATTTATCATCATCATCAACCCATTTCGATTATATTATAAGATTAGAAAATGGCAGAAAGCTTAATTTTGAGGGTTGAGATGAATTTCTTAAAAGAAAACTACAGTATTTTGTCATGTTTGTAACCGGAATTTCTTTCTTTAAGAAAAAGTAAATCATTAAATTTTATAACCAATAAATTATTAAACTTTATTTTCTTAGATTACAAAAATAAGAGACTAGACTCAGATTTGCTTAATTGACTGAACTTAATAAATAACAATCAACAGTATAAGTTACATCATTACAAGGCAATTCGGTTTAAGGAAGTAGTAAATTTATCACATGTTGAAGTTTCTCTGTTCTCGACACAATAGGCATTACTTAAGTCTTCTTTTCACAAATCCAAGTTAAATAGTGATTAAGTTTTCGTTTTTGAGGACCACAGAATGACTAACAAAACACGACCATTGTATCTTCCATCGAGTCCCATTATTAAAAAGAATCAGTGCCAGTCGGAGGTCAGAAGTTGACGATCAAATAAATATTTAGACCCGATTTGGGTGACGTATGCTTCGGCCTGAAGGATCTTCTGTATGAATGAAGCATAGGTAACAAATTGTGAGCATAGTCTATCGCTTTGTAAAAAGCCCCGCAAATTGAACGACGGCATAAGGCATTCGAAAGTAGCTACGCTTATCTTGGTCACTTTAGACAATTTATACAGGAACACTTTATTCAAATACATTTGCGAACAATCACGCATCTTGACTCCTGATCCTGAAACATTATCAGTACGTTATTGTCAATTTCTGAAAAAATTATAAACATCTTTATTTACTTCTATATTAAAATAATAGGATTTCCAGTAATTCTAGTCTTATTCCTTTAACTTTTATAAGTTTAGTGTATGTAACAACTCTAGTTTTCGACCATTCCTTCTATATATGTAGAAGGGATGGCCATTTGTGCACCTGTTCTAACTGACAAAATGACTTCTGTGTTCTTTAGTGATGTTAGAACAGTAGTCAGTATATTTAAACACAATGGAATTGCCAAGTTGTGAACTACGATAGTGAAACAAAACTAACATTGCAAAGATATCAGAAGAATAATTTCCACAACCCTAGCTCAAACACCATTCTGCCTTACATTATTTGTGCAAGAGTCATCTTTGTGGAATTCCTAGAATTCGCTGGAGATATATCTTAAAAAAATTAGTTAACCTTATTTTCTGTCTGTTCGTTGATTATTTAATTATTACTAATTTATAGATTAAATTCTACGAAGGTTCACAGGGCATCTATATAAACATAATTCCAAATTAGATAGGGAGATTATCTAGCAATAAAACAAATAATCTTAAAAATACTTTAGCAAGTAAGCATGTTTCCTCTACAAAAGAATAATAAACATTAAAGTTTCTGTAATAATTTAAGAAAAACAATGTAATTTTTATTCTTGAAAAGTCTGAAAATTAGTGCATTGGAATTCTTGGCTAAAGTTCCGAAGTAGGAAAGAGATTCAGTACTAGTTACAGAAGCCTTCAATCTATTTTTGTTTTAGTAGACCTAATATCAGCTAAGTTGCGTGACAAACTCCAGTTTTTTTTCTATTTGTTTATTCTTGCAATCCATGACTTTTAGGACATCCTTTGGGGGAAAAGTTAACAAGGGAATCAATGCTCTGAATATGGTCTACAGACACAACAAATACAAATCTGAATAAAAGAAAACGAAGGATTCTCATGTTATCTCTTCACCTTTTCATACTCTTTCCAACCAGTATTCCAGTGTGTAGCAACTCTTTTAATACAATGTAATAGCATGCAGATGGGCATAACTAGGGCTTAAATATAAACAAAATATGTTAATGCTGAAGCAAATTGCTTACAGAATCTTACAGGAGATATCATATTTGACTAGGAAATAAAACTGTTAAACTATGAGAGATTAAAAGCTATAAAAAATTGTTTATGAACCCATTAGAAAACTGAAGAACTAATTTAACACTGATACAATATATTGCACATGTAAAAATGTCAATTGGATAAACTTTCCACCTCATCAAAGAAATCTTTTCTATTTATGAACAGAATTTAAGGATTTCAAAACGTCTATCTAATAGAGTGATACGTTTCACCATTTTCTTTACAAATTCCGTTCGAAAGCAAAATATATTTGTGTTATTTGTAACATTAAACACAGAGATTTCAATTTAGACAACTTTGAAATTTCTTGAAAATAATTCTCTACTCACCTGGATCTGTCAACAACAACAATTGGGTTGGTACTATTGAGTTTCCCTCATGTAATCCCATTCGATAGGCAGTGTCTTTTATATTTTGAATCATATTCTTTAATTCTGAGGCGATTTCGTCATCGTAGAGCGACGATTCTGGAATATCACTCATTGCGCGAATAAACAGCACCACTTTGATTATATTGGCTTGAATCAAGCTTCCAGAATCATGCATAGTAAAGTATCTCCAGAGGTACTTCCTTGTTTTCAACAGACATTCAGCGAAGCCTTCATTCATGAAGCGATATGGAATACCTTCGTTTCCGAGTGGGCGCTAAAATGAGAAAACGTGTTAAATTAGTGAAAATTTACAACAAAGACTTCATTAGACAGAATAAATTTGAAAAGTCCGAGATTACGGAATAGTTTAAACTGTTACATCGCAATAAACTCAACTGGTAAGTTGAGTCAATTTGAAGCGTATATCTGATAAACCCTGAATGACGAATGATCTTGATATTCTTGAAGAATCATCAGAAAAATTAGTTTTGGATTTGAATCTCTGAAGATAAAAAATGTGTTGAAATGAGGGACTCCCGTAAAAAGGGACACGTGCCTCCATTTTCATTTCGATTGCCCTTTTCCTAATCCCAAAATAGAAAATTCGCGAAAAGAAACTAATGAACAATATTTGTTTATTGACCCATGCAACTTCATATGTTGACCACAACCCATTCGTTATTTTTGAGTGAAACAAGTGCCACCTTGTGAGGGCGTTGATCTGACTTTGGAGTTCTTTGCATAACGTACAGTACGATGCCCTCGTTAATAGCTTGTTCCCCCTTTTCATAGTCTGCTATCCACTTCTTTAAGTACAATTTTCTAATAGAATAATATACAAATCGAAAAAGTTACTTACTGGAGGTTGAAAACAGATTTTTCCTTGATTTTCCTCCACTAAAAATTAAAGTATTTCATTAGACTCGAAAAAGAACAAAAAAAGGGAAATGATTGTCATCCTACTTACATAAAGCCTCGATATGTCTTTCCACTGTCTTACTGTTTTCATCTCTGATGGTCAGTTGCTTGTCAAGAGACTGTACCAAACTCATAACTTCTTTGACTGTTACCACTTGCTTTTCTACTTCGCATATTTTCTTTAATAAGATCGAATATTCTTCAGCTAATATCGTTGCTTCTGGATGAGCGATACATGCTCTGCTTGCTGTCTCGTCTGGAGATAAAAGACAAGATTGAAATATATTTGATCAAAGGGAGAATAATGAGGACTGGGCACTTACCTAACTTGAAGAGGCAAACCAACTTTAGGAGATACAAATGGTAAAATGTAAAATTTAAATCGAACATATATGTGGCTGTTTTCAGGATAGTAATGAGCAAGCATCTGTGCTTGTAGGATTTTATGTCATTTGGATTGATGTATCCCCCATCCACTTTGAAGGCTGGCCCTTTGCCTACCTGATCGGCTATTGCTGTCAGGTACCTTCCTTTGTTGCCATTTGCTTTTAAAAGAACGATCTGAAACGAAAACAAATCTTCGTTTAGAATCATAATGAATCTCCGGCCTAAACTAGAATTGTGAAATACTACACTAAACTGGGAGCCCATTAAGTCTTTCACTAAAATCAAACTTTGACTTACAGCACTAACTACAAAGTGTCTATCCTTCTTCAGAGATCTAGCTAAGTGTTGCTTTCAATAATCCTTCTTCAACAGTTCAACGGGACTTTAAAATCCTTTAAGTTGTAGAAAGTATTGTAAGTGTAATAAGCAGAAGAGCTTTGAAATCTTTCTTTTTTTCCCTTCTGATTATCCCAGATGACCATTCATCAATATGCTCACTTAAGTGGTATGAATACTAATCCTTTCTACAGGATAGATCCTGAAATTTCATCCTTCTTTCATCTTAGTGTAATTGTACTTCAACCGCCCAGAATATGTATAAACAAACAATGACTCAATCACCCAAATATACGTAAGTGGGGGAAGAATGCTAATTTTTTCAATGACGACCTCAAAAACAATTCATAATTAAATATACTATGTCACCAATGGAAGAATCATTGCATCTTCACATTCTGCTGTTGTGTTTAACAATTGGAAGAAATGTAAAAAAAATCACTCATCTTTGCATTGTTAAAATGCAAATAAATTAAGTGCATGGTCAGTAAAAACGTCTATATATTGAGGAAAATTTAGTTCTATTTAAAAATTTTTTTTCAGTTTTTGCACTTCTGTTAACAATTAAGTCTTTTCTCAGGCTCATAATAGAGAGATTTGCAGAACAGACCATCCATATAAAACACTTGAGAAAGTGAACCCTAAGAGACTTAATAGGCAGAGAGGATGCTAACATAACCTTAAAACATAACCTTGCAGTCTTAAGAGGATGTGAAATCTGAAGGTCACTTACCACTTGGTCGATGTTCAGTTGAAAGATGTCTTTCTGCTCCCAGATCCATTGAACATATCGATTCCAACACCTATCCAAGTATTTGGCAAAGTGAGCATCGGCACCTTCTTCTTCCAAAGACTGTTTTTCATATAAAAATATTTAATTTCTTGTATATTGAGATGTATTATCACGTATCTTGTGGATTCCACACATCAAATGGAATATACAATTGAATAATTCATGATATTGAATTAAAATTCCATTTTGTGACAAGAACTGTTCATGAATCTACTATTATAAATCGATACTAATTCAAGAAAGGACTTACCTTGTCTTCCGATCCTCCATCCACATACTTTATCATTAATTCCAAATTGTAATCGATTTTCTCATATGCTAGGTATGGAAGAAATTTTAAAAAGAAATAAGACAATCTCTAAGTAATAAAAACACTCACTAGAAATATCGTCCACGTTCAAGTATTGGAAAACAATAGAAAGAAGACAGGAAGAACAATTTTTGGGACATCCAACATGGCAGAAGACTGTTGTCCCCTTTTCAACCAGTTTTTCCATTTTTGACTCACACTCGTAACATAAGTATATGCTGCTGTATACTAGACCTATTTCTTCACAAACATAACATTTTCCGTCTATTGCTATGTGAAGGTTTGCTGCCAATTCGATGTACTGGTCGTTCATTTCCATTTCTTCTTCTTCTTCTGTTTTTTCACCATCTTCTTCATCCATTCTTTCTAAAATATTAAATAGATTAAAGAGAGTTTGCATTCACGTAAGATCTCGTATATGCACCATTCTTTGTTTCTTTCAATTAAGAATTTTTTATGCCCATTACAAAGTTAAGATTTTCTCATTATTTTAAGAAGTTTAAAGATTGTCAAAATTACTTCCCTTAATTCAATGTTCCACTTAAATTTGGGAAATTCGTGTGGGTTGTCAAATCAAAAATCAAGATTCGACATGCGTAGCTGCGTACAGATGAAGCAGGTGATAATTTACAATATATATGTCTCTAATACCAACAGTTAGCTTCTGTGCTTATTATTGTGCTAAGCTACACACTGTGGCTACTTTCTCATGCATCACCCCATATAATAATAATAATAATTTAAACGTAACAACTGCGTCTACTTGCCTTTATTCGGGAATGCTTGATATTGAAATAATTTACCTGTATTTGGGTCTTCAATAACTGAAAATGATCCTTCTATCATCCTGGTTTCAACAGAATTATCCTGTGCTCTCTCATAAATAGTTTCCTCTTCTTCCATTTCAATTTCTAAATTAGTATAATATGTAGTAATTAATAACACGTAAAATCATAAAATTTCTATGAATAAACTTATGAATTGATTGGTTACCTTCTTCTTCTTCAGTGATAAACAATTGATCACTATCTTGATCACCTACAAAAGAAAAAAAAAGCCATAAAATTAATAGAGAGAGTGATATCAAATGGGCGTATTTTGAAAAGTTTGATCAGATTTATGGTTATAAAATCATAACTATGTAACGGCTTAGTGTACAAAGTACTGCAGATGTATATGGTTGCAATGCATGGGAATGGGCAAAATATCTAAAAAAGTGTCACTATGCTAGTGGCATAATCCTTGCGTAACAATAAATTGTTGAATAGCGATCCTCATTTACGCACTCGACGTTATACACCTAATAAATAACAGAATGTTCTATGGCTTACGGAGTGTAATGGATGAAGGATGGCTGTTAAAAAGTGTAAAAAATAATTATTACAGGTGAAAAGCTTTATTTTGGAGGTAGAGGAGTGTTTTTAAAATAAGTATAAATGCAAGATGTACTGCCACCTGATGAAATGTGAACGTTACGCAAGGTTTCACTTGAGCCATCATTTTCCAAATTTGACAATGGGAAGTGTTGCTTGTGCAGTGTTTTAAACCTTCCCTACTTTGGTGATGTAAAGATCTGTTGCCAAGTAGTTTGGAAAATTTTATATTGAAGGGAAGAGGTGTAAAAGCGAGTGTCATGCAAGGGACTTTTTCCTCTTTGTACTTGCATCTAGACGTTACCCATGTGATTCGATACATTTTGCCTTAATTAATATTAAACTATATATGAACCTTCATAAGTGAAAGTTATTTTTAACCTCCAACAAGCTCGGGTTTGTCCCTTCCGGGAAGAAACGTCACCGGTCTCTTTTACACACTAATCGGTCCCCTCCACCCAATAGCCAACTCAAAGTGTTCGTAGCGCCCTAACCGGTAACAGTCAGAACCATTCATTTCTTTGGAGAATTCATACAGTAAGGATGATCCTTGTACAATGATATTCTTGACCTAGGGTTGGGGGTGAAAGAGAAATTTCAAAAATTAAAAAAAAAAAATACTAACAAGGCGACTGTGTTTTCTATAAACTGTGGTACCCAGCAACACGGCACCCCAACTTCTACACACTCTACAGTCTCTCAGCACATAGCGCTTGTCATCAGTGGGTACATGCAGTAAATGTAGTCACATTGTCACGTCTAGTACAGAAACTAGTTGAGACGTGTTTGCATACCTTGAATACAGCACTTTTGCACATAAAAACAAAAGCCAGAAATTGCTTAAATGCATCTGATGACTTACGCGCGACTCTCAAAAAAAGAGCTTTGTTTTAATAGAATTATTTTCAGATTCAACGGGGTGCTGATCAATAAAAATGTTAAGAACTGCTGTTCTAGACAAATCCTTTGTGTTTAGTTTTACGATTAACGAATAAGTAACTTCTCAAATATTCATTCATTCATTTTATTCATTGTTATTTAAGTACTTGGTACATGTCCCGGCTTTGCTAAAGCATAACCAGGAAGTTATACATATTTTACATATATATAGTTACCAATATTTTTATACATATACAATAATAACAAATAGTAATAAATAGTAATAAACAATATGAGTAATAAGTTATATGTTAAATATGCTTATGACGTATATTAGGATAAATAAAATTATCAAAACGAATTATAATGTTCAGATAAACAAAAGAAAATAAATATATATATAAAAATAAATGCTTAGTAGTTCATAGCTGTGCAGAACAGCTCTTGGAGTACATTGCAGATGTGTACTTTAAAGTCTTTAGTTCTAAGCAGAACTTTATGTGTCAGTGAATATTACTTAAACCCAAGTAAAATCAGCGTGCAGAACAATCCTTATAAAAGTTGGTGGTTTGAAAGTTACTACACACGTCTATAAACAGTTTGAAAATAGTTGTGTATATTCATTGAAAAGAAACAAGGTTGAGCCATCAATAAGCCGAATGCCCAGCGAAGGTTGAGATATGTCGATTATGCTGCTGTTGTGCAGATCATCTAAGCACAAAGGAAACATAGCTGAGCTACATATAAATTGAAAGCCCAGTGAAGTTGGAGTAGGTGAATTTCACTGCTTTGGAGCACATTGAATGAATTAGAGCTCTTAGGTACATAAAGCCCACTTCACAATGCGCTTTGAAGAGCACTTTACACATTGCATGTTGCACTTTGAAGCACCACAAAACACTTACATGTTACACATTAAACTTTGGAGCGCCGTATAACACATTGTAGTACTCGTAGCATATTGCACATGTAGCAACATAAAACACTAGAAACACCATGAAATACTTATAGCACCACACAACAAATCAAAGCACTAAACACACTTAATCACATTGCACTGTAAAGCACATTTTGAAGCACCGTAAAGCACTAGAGACACCATAGAAAACTAGAAGCACTATAAAACATATCAAACATTAAAACATTAAGCACGTTGCACATTAAAGCACCAAAACACATGAAGCACGTTGCACTTGTAGCACCATTCATCACAAGAGCACCAGAAGCACATATAAGCATGCTGAAACACTTTTAAAACACTGTGTGGTTGAAACATTGTGACACACTATTGATGAAAAGCACTTTGAAGCATTAGGAATGCACATTTAAGCACTACAAAACACTTTAAACACATTGAAGCGTTAACCAAGCATTGAAACACATTGAAGCTACAACAAAGGAGCTCGAAGCACTTGAAAGCCCATAGGAGTATGGTGATTACATTCTATACATTGAAATTCTCTGAAGTATGCTCGTCAGAAGAGACTTCTCAAATATATGAACGTAGGTACATATTTTCTGTTAATAGGCTATAAATCAAAGATACTGTTAATTCAAACGATATCGGGCAATTGTGCTGTTCGCGAGCGGTTTTTTTATTGTTGCTTCATATAGTCAATAATAATAATAAGTCGTTTCTAATTACAATAAAAATCTATAGTATATTATGATCTATTACGTGGTCTCTAAAGTTCAGCGAATTCTTCGCAAAAAGAATAAGTTATCAGGAACACGTTAGGAGATGAGTAGTCACGTGACCGAATAGCACGGACAACAAATGTCACGTGACACGCTTCGTACGCGTCCGCCGTCCGATGTGACGCTCCGCGACTAAAACAAACTTTAGCAATGGTGTCTTCGAACCGGTACACTCGATAAGTATTCCGACAATTTTTTGTTCATAGCATGTTTTATATCGATCATTTCCAACAAATTATACGTGTTTTGGAAATATTCGAGTGAAATTTGTCTAGATTTGATTAATTTTATGGAAGAAAACCTCTCAAATAGCCGTACCCACTAAACAGCACAATTGTCCGATATCGAATACAAAGTTTTATAATTCACGTGGTCGTCGTCTAACACGTGTAGACTAATGAAATCCGCCATCTTCATCTTAAAAATACCCTTTTTACATTTATAAAAACTTTTATTATTCATAATTAGAACATATTTAAGATTTCAATATTCGGTAAAATTATATATAACATAATTACAATTGATATTTTGTATTATTAAAGAAAATTTTGGTAAGAAATTATTCACGCATTTAATGACAATAAAATCTGTTNAATTATATATAACATAATTACAATTGATATTTTGTATTATTAAAGAAAATTTTGGTAAGAAATTATTCACGCATTTAATGACAATAAAATCTGTTTCCAAGTAAAATCATAAATCCCTCATTTAGGTCTAAAAACTTCCGAAAAGTTTATCAAACGTAATGTAACTGGAAGATACTTTAACACGTAACATGCCACAATTCCCTCGTTCTACTCACTTTCTATTTATTTATTTATTCTTTAACTTAATTAAATAACAATAATTTATATTCAAAACTCACCTTGTACATTTTCTACACTTTCTACATCAATATATTTCGGCAGTTGACGATCGAGCTGCATCTTCGTTCCGAGTCAGATTTAAAAGTGACCGCTGACAGTGGGTACAGTACATACAGTGTACTATTTGCGTTTTTCACCGGATGCTCGCCCTCTAGTGTCAAGCAAATGCATGCATGGGCTTGACACTACCCGTTACCCGTTTTAGCAACTGATGTTGATGCTGCCAAAACATTAATCCATTATTCGTTTGCCAATCGTTTTTTGAATGATGTACACCTTACGGTCTTGTATGAAACTAGCCAACTAGTCTCGGATACTAGCCTCTAGCGCGTTTTAAAGAACCAAGAGTTCTATGTAGCTGTACACACTCAAACGCGCGCTTTTGGCCAAGCGCGCGTTTATAGATTTTTGTTAAAACGCGCGTTTTGCGGGCGTTAGCCGAGCGCTTTGAGATATATGTGCTGAAATGGAGAACGATCATTTCGATACTGATCTATTTATTGATGAAATCTAAAAGAGACCAACCATCGTCAAAGGATTTTATAGATATTTTAAAAGAATTAAAAAACTTGAATTTATTTTGTCTTAGTTTTGGATGCAACGTCGCAAACATTTTATGCGTCAGTCTATTTCGTAATATTGGGTGCACCCAAAATTCTCTTTGCCTCTGCCGTCGTCTTTTATAGCGACGATAGAGGAGCCACACACATGCAATCACTTCCACATCCATTTCCAAACCGAGCCAGTGCGCACGCTCCGCTAAACGCTCGTCGAACGCCGAGCTAACGCGCGTTTAAAAACGCCTAGTGTGTACACAGCCTTAACGTTAACAACATGCTATAAAATCATTAAAATCATTTTATTGTATTTAACTCACGTTTATGAAAATATTTTCACTGCAATTTTTCGTTACAATGTCTACAAGACAACAAAACAATTAACGACTTATTGACATTATTATCAGTATTAGTAGTGGTGGTAGTAGTCAGTGAGAGCTACACTGATCATCCCCCGGCCCTAAAAGTAACACCTTCCTCTCAAATTTCACATAAACCCGATGTCACTCTGTGTAAGCAGATAATTTACAGCTTTTCTTTAATTTAATATGTTTATTTTCTCGTTTTTAAATCAAACAACAATAAAATACATATAAAAAAAGCACTTTTGGAATTCCACGAGTATTTTATGTCATTAGAAAGAAGACAAAATGAAGATGTTGTTGTTACTATTATTGTTATTAAGTTATAGCAACGCAACACTTGGGCGATCTGTCGAGGGAATGCCTTCCGGGCTCTTTTTAACGGAAACTTGTTCCTATTTAGGTGTTACAGACATGGAGAAAACCCGGAAAACCGTCCGTGCGAGGCGCGAATCCACGACCTAATTCCCAGTGTTCAAGGCACGAATATCGCTTGGCCACTGGTGGGCCTACAAAATGAAAAAATTAAACACATAATCGCAGTTTTTGATGTAATGCTGACAGGTTCACAGTTGTAGAATGAAACTCGTTTGTTTTTTTTAATCCCTCTAGAGAGGGATGTGTATAACTACACTTAAACTGGCATTTTCCGGGATAAACCAGCATATAGGCTTTTTTTATTGGTTCAACATCTTAATTAAGCTCGTGGAAACAACCAAAAAAGTGAGTGACTCAGAGGTCTGCTAATATGGCTGGTTTTTCTCTAGATGATAGTAATTTATGCTTGAAAAAACCGAACAACGTGGATTCATAATATGGCCATTAAGTGACCATGTCATTAAATGATTAAAACTGAAAAGTTTTTTAATGTAATTTTGTAAGTCATTTAATCTAATGAAACATTTTTAACCATTTCACAAAAATATGTGTTTACATTCTTCTTAAACCTTAAAATAGTCTTAAAACAGTAACAGGTAACCATACCTGGATGGAAGGTGTTCTTAAAATAGCCACTTGCAGACATTTTAAAATAACCTTTTAAAACTCCTAGATAATTTTCTATGGTCTTCTAAAATTTTTTCTCATTATAACTATTACGTGTGTTATCAACCTGCAAATTTAATGTAATTAGAGAGATAAATAAGGAATTTTCATTATTTTGACCAAGTTAGCGTGTCCATATTTGATTCACTTACCACATTAAATCTTCCATCCAGTCCAGTTATAGAAAAACTCGGTTCAGTGCCATTCGGCCAGCAGAGGTCTAGGATCGAATAAATATTTGGGCGAGAGTTGGCTGACGTATGCATCTGCCTGGAGGATTTGCATCAGGAGTATGGTGAAGGCAGGGTAATGTGAGCATAGGCAATCATTACGTATAAAGCCCTGCAAATCCACCGACGTCATAAGGCATTTCAGAGTCGCAACGCCCACCTTGCTCACAGTAGACAAATTACACAGGAATACTTTTTTCAAGTATGTTTGTGAAGAATCACGCAGCTTGATTCTGGAAGCTGCAACATGATCATTGTTCAATTTCTTAAAATATAACAGACATCTTTATTTACTTCTATATTAAAAGATTAAGACTAGAATTAATGAAAATCATATTTAATTATTCTTTTAAATGTTATAATCCCTTATCAGAATGGATAGGTTACGACAATGTCACGATTGTGTTCAGGAAGCACATTTCACAGAAAGGATGTCAGAAAATTTAATTATTCCCACATTCATATTAATATTTTGTCTTTGTGTAATGCAAGTATTTCTATTTGAGGTTTTAAGATTTTCTAAATTTAAATGTGTTTTGTACAGTTATGGATAAACTTGGATTATGTTATCTTCTGGTACAGGGAAGGTTTTAGTTCAGTTTAAAAGAATATCTGGTCATAATTACTAAATCAGATAGATTCATTCAATAAATAATTCTAACAATGTAAAAGTTTGCCATTTTTCCTTTAATTTTTGAAGCCTCTTTAATGTTAATCAGAAAAAGTAAGTCACTAGTAATGTTACAGTAGAAATTTACTATGCATAATGCATACATTTTGGTAGTAAAACTGTAAATCCGACTGTTGTAATAGTGGCAACACTTAATAACTACCTGCTACAGCATTAGAGATTAACTGCAGCTGTGATATTACTTTTTTGAAGTCAATCTTGCCAAATTTTGCAAAAAACTAAATTATTTACAATTATCCTGAGAAATAAGTTCATCCCACCACTGATATAAGGGATGGTTAATACTAACTTGTAAGTATAGAGAGAACAAATGGAGCCAAGTTGTGTGTGCCCATGAGACTACAACTTTTAAGCTAAAGCTCTGAAGTATAATGCAGATTCAGTAGTGGCAGTCGATAGATATACTGGTCTTTGAGCTATGTTCTAAAGTAGAGTTAATGTGTTGAGTTGCCAATAGCTGGCGCTCGCTATGCTTTGAGGCAAAAAGAGGTTAGTTTATCCATTTGGTATATTTTTTAATTTTTATTTACAGATTTTAAATATCTCAGTTTAAAACTTATATTGTTATTATTGTGTATATAAATTTTGTACATAATTTTCTCTTTCTGTACACAATGTATCTGTTTAATAAATAGAAGCATTTGCATTTTTCTATATATATTATATTTAATTGCATATTATGACAATATAATTGGGAAAACCATAGCTTATCCTCTAATGCATTTAAGCAGCCACAGAAACTAAGATAAACGTAAACTTTATTTTTTCAAATACAGTAGATCCCCCTATAAGACGGTAGATACGTTCCGTTCTTTATGAATCAATTTTGTAGGAATCATAGTTTACGGACTACGGCTGTTTGAAAGGTTTTCTTTCATAAAATTAATCGATTCTAGACTAATTCGACTCAACATTTCCAAAATACGTATATTTTTTTGAAAATAATCCGTATAAACTACGTTATAAACAAAAAATTGTAGGATTGCTTACCGAGTGTGTACCGTTCGACTACGCCCGTTGCTAAAGCTTGGTTTCGTCGCGGAACAGCGCATCAAATTGCGGCCGCGATTTCTGATATTATTTTTCTGCGAAAACTTCGTTGACCTTTGGAGACATCATTAATATAAATAATTTTTATGGCCGTTAAATAAGAAATGTTTCTTTCACAAGAAATGTATAAAATTACAGTACTAAACAGACGATAGGTCGCCTAACTCGCCGTAGCGTGACGCTAGACGGCGAAAAATATATATTTAATTATAATAAAGTTACAATAAATTAAGTTAATATATAATTATATATACAGTACCTAATTTATATATAATTAATATATAATTATATGTACAGTACCTAATTTATATATAATTATATGAACAGACGATACTAAATTCAATTTATCCGCCTAAACGTCCGTAGCGTGGCGCTACGGACGGCGGGAAAGTAGTTCGGCTGCCCGATGACGTTTTACGTATTATAGGAGTTATTTTTTACCGTTGTTTACGGATACTGCCACAATTTTTATAAGAATCATAACTATAGGAAACGGTTTTATAGGGGGATCTACTGTAATTTATTAATTTTAATACTACATAAAGTTCACAGTTCAATTTGATTCAGTAATGATAAACAGTTTTTGGGATGTCATACTCTTTTTTACCTTTGGCATATAAAATTGCAGTTCTTATGACATTCACATTGTGTCTACATATTTTAGTAGTTAATAAGATATTCTGCACCATTAAAAGTAGAGTGTGAATGCAGTTTTATTCATAATCTACTGACATCTTCCTTTGTTTATACATAGGTTTACATATATATGTGATTAAAATATAATAATACTGTTTCAGTTCTTGCCATCTTACATTTATTCTTTATCAATCTCTAACTCATTATCTGCATTTAAATATAAAAATTAAAATTTCCACTTTTTCAACTTTAATTACTCTCTATCTCATTAATAAACAAAATACCAATTGTAAATAATATTTACCATAGCTCTTTTTTACTGTATCTTACAATAATTCATTTAATATTAATAAAAAAATGTGGACATAAAGTTACACCTTGATACATTCCAAAATTCAATCTAAAAACTCTTTTTATAACACTTTAATCTATCCCAATGCTTGTTTTAACATTTCTACACATATCCATAATGAAATATATATAATTCTCATCAACCTCTTTTCTTCTAGACCCAAAGAATTCACTGAGGTCACCCCATATTAAAAATATATAGATAGTATGAAAACATTGTAGTTTGGCCTATCTTTTCTTAACTATTATGAAAACTACAAAAATATTTTAAAATGAATACAAATTGCAACATAAAACAAACCCTGGAATCAATTTAATGTCTAAAATCATGAAATGCTCAGCTACCGAAAGCTGTAATGCAACTTTCGTAGCATTAGAGCTGATGGTAGCAACCAATTTTGGGCTATATCTTCCAGTTTGGATAAAGTATAAAGATACAACTAATAGATTAATTAAATGAAAATGAAGGATTCTCATGTTATCTGTACACCCTACATTAGGATGCTTTCCATCCATTATCTTCAGGTGAAACATACAGCAATTGATGAAAATATGCATAACTAAGGCTTAAATTAGGAACTAGATATGTTAATGTTGGAAAAAACTACTTACAGAATGTTATAATTGACCACAAAATTAAGAGAAATTAATAGCTATAAAGAATGATCAGCATACAGAACACTGCAGAACTATAATGAAAAGCTGATACAATGTACCCATACTACATGTGTATGTGAATTTGAATAAATTGTTGATTTCATCTACGAAATCCTGTCTGTGTGTGAATAGAATTGTAGTATGTCAAAGAAGTCCATCTGACAGAACAATAAGTTTCAGTAGTTTCTTTATATATTCCTTTAGAAAGCAAAATAGATTTGTATGGTTTGTAGCATTAATACATAGATTTTAACTTAAGGTTAGAGATATTTGAAGTATCTTGAGAATGTTTTACTCACCTGAATCAGTCAACAGCATCATCTTCATTGCATCTAAGGCCTTTTCTGAAGTTATTCCAGCTGCCGCCTGGCTCACTTTCAAATCCATAATCATCTTCTTCAATCGTACATGGTTTTCGTCATCCTCGCGCAATGATTTTGGTACATAATCTGTCGAACGAACGAACACCAGCAATTTGATTATATTGGCTTGAATCAAGCTTCGAGAATCGTGCATAGTAAAATGCTTCAACAGCAGACTCTTTGCTGGTATGACACATTTGTTGTAGCCATCGTTCATGAAGCGATATCGCGTAGTTCCTTGATAGAATGTTTGCTAACAAGAAAACATGTTCTAAATTGTCATTCGTTTACACCAGAAAAGAATCGTGTCAGAAGACATTTGAAAAAGCTGAGACTACTTTTATTGCATTGTAAATTNCTCGGCATTTCTCAAAGTGGGCAATAACGCCCCCTTCTGGGCGATGAGTAGATCTAAGGGGGCTGGAGGCAGGGTATTGAACGGTGACCAAAGGCAAAATTGGGGCCGATAAGAGTAAACATTGCCGTTAATGGTTTCCAGATGTCGAGAACAATGTACGGTAAGGGCACAAAGTGTGAGATTCATAGAAAAGTTTTCCTAAGAATATTTCCAATCCTTTTCTCACGCAAGAGAAAATGGTGTAGGGGGCGTTGGGTATAACTTTATGGAACAAAGGGGCGGTGGATCAAGAAAACACGTTCTAAATTGTCATTCGTTTACACCAGAAAAGAATCGTGTCAGAAGACATTTGAAAAAGCTGAGACTACTTTTATTGCATTGTAAATTGAGTTTACCACAATGTACCAATGCAACCTGATAAATGAGTTTGGTTTTAACTGTTGAGGAAGGTTTCCTGAAGAATAAATTCGATCAGTATGAATGGAAACAACAAACAAATTCTTCAAATTCCTGAAGAATCATCACAATAAAAAATCAAAAATTTGCTTCGGTTTTGAATTCCTCACAATAAAAAAAATCTCTCGAAGTACAGTCTTCTAACAGGAGAAAATATAAACCAAAAAAGTTACTTACCGGATTTGGAAAATGAATCTTTCCTGGATTGGCCTCTACTAAAAGTAAAAATATTAAGAAAAATTTTAAAAAATGCTTTTTATTCATATATAAGCACTAAAAAGTAAAACAAATTTTATTCAAATTTCACTGTATCCTTAGTATTATTGTTTGTAAATTTAATATAATGTATTGTCATGGAGAATAAATATGTATAAAAAGCTTCAACAAGATTGAAAATTGGATAGTGGATGAAAAATGAGTTACAAGATTCTGGACAGACATACAAACAGAATAAGTTGAATATGTTAAAAGCCTACAATAAAACAATGACTGTTGCACTACTTACAAAAAGCCTCGATCCTTCTTTCAATATCTCTGCTATTTTTGTTTCCAGTCTTTAGTTTTCTGCTGATAAAATCTATCAGACAAAAAACTGCTCGAAAAGTCATCATTTGCTCTGGACTGCTTATTTCATGCAATAGAACTGAACATTCCGTACATAATTTTGTTGCTTTCCGATAGACGGTACACAGTTCAGATGGTTCAGTCTTGCCTATAAATAAAGGACAAGGTCAAAATATATTTGATCAAAGGGAAAATAATGAGGACTGGGCACTTACGCAACTCAAAGAGGTATAACACCTTCAGGAGATACAATTGGTATGATGAAATTGGTAAATAGGACATCTGTCTGGCTGCATTCAGGATAGTAAAGAGCAAGCATCTGTGCTTGTAGGATTTGATGTCATCCGGATTGATGTATCCCCCGTCCACTCTGAAGGCTGGCCCTTTGCCTACCTGATCGGTTATTGCTATTAGGTACTTTCCTCCGTTGCCATTTGCTTTTAGAAGATTAATCTGAAAGGAAAATCAATTCATTTAAAATCATAATAAATAGAGAATAAGCATTACTACTAACAGTAGTCCCCTTCAAAGAAAAAAAAAGTAAATAGAAAATTTTCCAATAAATCTTTCTCAATTTAAAGTTTTTTTTTTTTACTTATATTCTATGATGTCTTCTATTTCTATACTACATAAGGTATTTTATTGAATTCATATTAAAAAATTTTTTCAATTCAACTTGGCTCCCAACAGTAAATCCTGAGTGTGCCACTGATACTCAACAAATCCAGCTGAACTTGTGGAAGGAGGATTTTCAGTTTCTACAGTGTAAAAAGTTTTCATTCTAAAACACAATTGAATAAGAGCTTTTAAATCCTTTCCTCCTCCTCCCAATTACACTAAATTCTTGTACATCAGAATGTTCACTTTCTGTTTCTAGAGATTCAAATTTTAATCACGTCTGGATTGTAATCTTAAAACTTCACATGACAAGAATGAATAGAATAGCATGGATCTTATAAAATATTAATGGCTGCATTCAGCAGACTCAACAGTTGTAACTGAACAAAGGTGTTTCAATCAATGATATTCTATTTAATTCTATTTGCTTACTATAATATCCCTTTGAACAAAATTTAAAACCTTTAATATAACAAATATAACATAGGACGCAAGCTTTCTCTATGTCAAGCAGCTGTATTTCAAATGTAATTCAATTTTCAACTAAGACCATTTGAAATGATGTTTCAGATGGCTCCAACTAATTGCAGGCCCCACGGAGAAGTTGGACTACCAAAAAGAAAATAGGAAAAGCTATAGAAGCAATTAGAAATAAAAAAACAGGGTAGAAAAAGACTTCTGTGGAGTTTGGCCTACTTAAAACTACATTAATCTTTTTAGAATTAAATTGTGTTCATACAGGGCTCAAAGCTTTAAGGTGAGAATCTTCACAAATCAAACTGATAACAATGAACAATTCTAACAGGGCAGACACTGACCCATGACACCAGCTTGCAAAGGACTGGTCATCAAGTGATGAAGGAAACCCGAAATTTCCAGTACAAACTGTTTGTTAAAAACTCCTGGAGTTCTTTCTTTCCCTGTCCCATTGTTTGTTTCATTACAACAATGAATTGTGTGGCTTTCACACAATTTATTATCATTTCTCTGACTACAGATTTCACAGTTAAATGAACATTTTATATATTTGTTTTCCTTAAAGTATGGTTAAATACATTACAAAGTCTAAATTACAATTAAATACAAAGTCATAAGAGGATGTTAAATCTGAAGGTCATCACTTACCACTTCGTCAATACTTAATAGAAAGATGTCTTTCTGCTCCCAGATCCATTGAACATATCGATCCCAACACCCATCCAGGTATTCGGCAAAGCACGCGTCGACACCTTTTAGCGGATCCGAAGACTGTTTTTGTAAAAAAAAATTTTCCGTTTCTTGTATATTGTCAAATAATCAATTATCAACACATATCTTGAATATTGTAGATTCCACTGATCGAATGGAACCCCATAATTGTCTAATCCATCATATTCAATTAAAATTCCATTTTATAAATAAAACTAAATTTAGGAATCATTCTGACTAAACAGAAGTTAGTTTTATCATACTGCAATGACAATATAATGGTGGCCAATCAGAAGTGAGAGTTTTGACTTATAGCCATAGAGTAAAGAGATATAATTAGAACAGCAGTTATGAATTGTGGCACGTATTCTCTCTGATGCAATTTGTCGGCCACATTGCTGAAGTTTCTGGCCGTACTGCGCTTAAAATGGCAACAAATTGTGTGGCTTTCACCTACAATAACAAACTAAAGGTTCTGCCTACAGATTTCACAGGTAAATGAATGTTTTATACATTTGTTTTCCTTAAAATATGGTTAAATAAGTTCATTTATAGTTTTAATAGAAATAAAAATAAATTTACCCAAGTAAAAATTTTATTTCATCATCAATGATAAAAATTTATATCATTTCTGAAGAGGCTTTTTATTTATTTATTTTTTTTTGTTAGTTTCAAACAGGGCTGCGGAGTCGGTAAATAAACACCCGACTCCCCCAAGTAAAAATTTTATTTCATCATCAATTATAAAAATTTATATCATTTCTGAAGAGGCTTTTTATTTTATTTTTTTTGTTAGTTTCAAACAGGGCTGTGGAGTCGGTAAATAAACACTCGACTCCGACTCCTGATAATTTTAGTAGGCTGACTCCAACTCCTACAAAATTAATTACCAAATCATTTTATGGGGAGCAGAGATGCTCATAGAGGTATCCTACTTTGAACTCTAAAAGGGGCTCCAGGCATTTACCCAAATACTTTTATACGTAGGCTGTTTTTCAAGCTCTGATGGTCGATAAAAAAAAAGACAATTATAAATAACAAAATGAATTTATTACCAAAAGTTAGGTACGGACATGGTTACTTTTCAACATAATCACTGTGAAGATTGAGGTATTTGTCATATCTGTGGATGAGCTTTTCCTTCCCCTTGTCATAGAATGTTGCTGTTAGTTCAATTGAAAAGTGTGCGATCTAGCTACTTCAGCCCCTTGTTCAGAAAAGAAAAATAACTCTGATCAATTAGTCTGGTTCAGTCAGAAAAATAAAGTACTTATTTAGAGCAGGGATAATAAAGGAATGATCCAAAATATTGAAATTCAATTGGGCCAAAATAATTTTACTACTAAACACAAATACTACAATGAACACTACAAATTTAATAAATTAACTTTATGTATTTTGTATTTAAAATAAATGAATTATTACAAATTATAAAAAGACTTTTAAAAATTAATAAATATATAATAAATTTTCTTTCATTTAAATAAAAAACTAAAGTAAATTTAAAATGTGGGAGTTGGAGTCGACACATTTTTTCCCGACTCCTCTGGCCAGAAATTCCTCCCGACTCCGACTCCACAACCCTGGTTTCAAATAACAAAATCTTATGAATTGATATTGGTTGAAAAAAATACGACTAAAAACATATGAACAATTATTTATTGTGACATTGTCGCAATTCCAAGCTCCAAGTTTAAAATTTATTTAAATTAAAATATATGCTTTCAACCTCAAATTAGTACCGTCTTGCCCCTGTACATCATACTTTTCCTGTTAGCAAATGTTGTGTTGTCTTGTCAATAACTTTTTACAGGAAGAATTTTTTGAATTGGAATAACATGACTTCCAGTTTGCATCAGAAGTTGATATGTAGTTAAATGGGGTCTCCTTTCCCTAAGCTTTCCATATCTGGTCTCATCTTTCATCTATCTAACTCTGTTCTTCAGATTAATATAAGACAGACAGCAGAAACTACATTTCAAATTTCTCCTTNATTTTTACCCTTTTATCACCAACCCCTATTTTTTAATAGCCATTTTAGTAATTTAATCATTTTTCATCCCGCTCGATAACTGATCAATTATCGTCTTTTTTGTAAATGTTTTTCACTCTATTTCGATTAAAATTTCCCTGAGCTTATGGCAAATCTAAAATTTTTGTATAAAAAGAAACATTTATTTTTATTATTAAAGTTTATTCCTGATATATACTTAGTGTTACCAATGTTAGATTTTTTAAATTTTCCGCCTTTTTACTGGTGAGTGATACTCATTTCCCACACTATACCGGTGTCACTTCCCAGTAAACAGCACGGAGTACGCATGACACCGAAGCTGGTCTCCTGTTTCTCTCACACAATAAGACTTCTCTCACTCCCTACACAGTTTTCGGCCATCATTATTGTTTATGCATCAAGTGTAGTAGTAACGTTTACAATTATCATTTTGCTATTTCAGTGTAACTCTCATATTAACTATTAATTATTCATATTTTATTACAATTATTACTTTTGACTGTATTTTGCACGATTAGTTAATCAAGTGATTTACATAACCTCAAAAGTACTCAACACGTGGCACGAGCTCCCACCAACAATGGCTTTTGTGTTGTAAGTATACTTTTTTATTTATATCGAAAATGTTGTTGGAAATGGTCAAAAAAGATTTGGTGAAAGTTAATTTTTATTAAAATTGGCCAAACTTTTTTTTGTATTCATTTTTTTTATTTACCATTTTTGATATAATTATGAAAAGTAAAATAAGTAAAATTTTTCGCTTTCGTAAAACAGTTTAATATTTACATGAATATGTAAATGTATGTGTGTACAATCAAATATTAAATACATTATAACTAGGGCCAGGATTTTTGCCGTGATTTCAAAATAACATTATACAATTAATGCTGTCAAGTTTTTGACATTACGCCAAAAATATTGATCTTATAAAAAATTAATTTTAATTTAATTTTATTAAAAAATAATGTCTCTTATGATTTTTTCTGTGAGACTAATCGGGGGTAGGATGTTTACGAGGATGTCCCTCTCCTACCACTTACTCGACTCAAGACCTTGAGGTCCGGTCTCGCTTGTCTAAAGGATGGGAAAAAAGGGTTAGGAGAAAGGATCGTTAGATTCTTTCACCTGTCAGGATCTGACACCAATCTATCAATTTATCGCGGATAGATACGCGGATGGATGGGGAATTATCACGAGCGAT